GGATCAAGATGGAGACAACAGTTCCCAAGACACCGCAACATAATGGTGTAGCAGAGCGCATGAACAGAACTCTGAATGAACGTGCCAGAAGTATGAGGATACATGCCGGCTTGCCCAAATTTCTATGGGCTGAAGCAATCAACACTGCAGCTTACTTGATCAACCGTGGGCCCTCAGTTCCTTTGGATGGCAGAATACCAGAGGAAGTTTGGAGCAAGAAAGAAATAAACCTTTCACACTTAAGAGTGTTTGGTTGTATTTCTTATGTACACATAGACTCTGTTGAAAGAAGTAAGCTTGATGCTAAGTCCAACAAATGTGCCTTTGTTGGTTATGGCGGTGATGAGTTCGGTTACCGGTTTTGGGACTATGAAAATCGGAAGATCATCAGAAGCAGAGACGTCATTTTCAATGAAAATGTGATGTACAAAGATAGATCAACCGCAGAATCAAGTAATACCGAAGCTGAAACAAAGGAATTTGCTGAGTTCGAGGAGATTTCTGGAAATGATGTTCAGATCAATCCTGAAGCAGTTCAAGAAGAACCAGGCACACCAGAACTGAGACGCTCATCCAGAATTCCTAAACCAACCCAACGGTATTCTCCTTCTTTACACTACTTGTTGCTGACTGACAATGGTGAACCAGAGTGCTATGATGAAGCAATGCAAGTGGAGGATTCAGTCAAGTGGGAGTCTTCCATGAAAGATGAGATGGACTCGCTTATGTCAAATCAGACATGGGAATTAGCTGAATTACCACCAGGCAAGAAAGCGCTCCACAACAAGTGGATTTACAGGATCAAAGAAGAGCACGATGGGAGCAAACGCTACAAAGCAAGATTGGTTGTCAAAGGCTTTCAGCAAAAAGAAGGTATTGACTACAATGAAATTTTCTCTCCAGTCGTAAAATTGTCTACAATCAGACTGGTGTTGAAAATTGTAGCTGCAGAGAATTTACATCTTGAGCAGTTAGATGTAAAGACAGCTTTCCTTCATGGTGATTTGGAGGAAGAAATCTATATGAGGCAGCCAGAAGGCTTCATAGAGGCAGACAAGAAAACCTGGTATGCAGGTTGAAGAAGAGCTTGTATGGTTTAAAACAAGCTCCTAGACAGTGGTACAAGAAGTTCGATAGCTTCATGAGTAGCAGTGGTTTTATCAGATGCCAAGCAGATCATTGTTGCTACATCAAGAGGTTCGACAACAGCTTCATTATTTATTATTGTACGTTGATGACATGCTCGTTGCAGGCTCAGACATGCAAGAGATTATACACTTGAAGCAAAAATTGTCGAAGCAGTTTGCTATGAAGGATCTGGGCGCTGCAAAGCAGATTCTTGGGATGAGGATCAAGAGACACAAAGTCGGGGACTTTGATGTTATCACAGGCTGAGTACATCAACAAAGTACTCTCCAGGTTCAACATGCAAGATGCTAAACCAGTAAGTACACCTTTAGGTGTCATTTCAGACTCTCCAAAGACCAATCACCAAAGACGGAGGAAGAACGTGCACACATGGTGAAGGTGCCGTATGCCTCAGCAATTGGAAGTCTGATGTATGCCATGGTTTGTACCAGACCAGATATTGCTCATGCAGTGGGAGCTGTTAGCAGGTACATGAATAATCCGGGCAAGGTACACTGGGAAGCAGTCAAATGGATCCTCAGATATCTTCGGGGTACCACAAACAAAGCACTTGTTTCAAAGGTGGAGATATGATACTGACAGGCTATGTAGATGCTGACTTAGCCGGAAATGTCGACATCAGAAGGAGCACTACAGGGTATGTCTATACTCTAGGAGGAACTGCAGTGAGTTGGGTTTCTCAACTACAGAAGATAGTTGCTCTCTCCACAACTGAAGCAGAATATGTCGCTGTTACGGAAGCCAGCAAGGAGATGGTTTGGCTCCAAAGTTTCTTGGAAGAGTTAGGCAAGAAACAAGAAAACAATATCTTGTATTGCGACAGTCAAAGTGCTATCCATCTAGCAAAGAATCCGTCTTTTCATTCCAGGACAAAGCACATACAATTGAGATATCATTTTATCCGGTCTCTTCTGGAAGATGGGATTTTGAAACTTGAAAAGATTAGTGACATGTTGACAAAGACGGTGACTACGGACAAACTGAAGTTGTGTTCAGCTTCAGTTGGCATGCTAGAATAACAAGACCAGACATGCTGCTGCATTGATCGAGGTGTGAAGACATATTAAAATCAGTCTTCAAGTGGGAGATTGTTAAAAGTTTCAAAGTTTGGCAACCAACTTTGGAAAATGTTTTTTCAAAGTTTGGTAAATGTTTCTTTGAAAAATGTTTTTCAAAGTTTGGTAAAATTTTGGTAGATGTTTGTTGAAAATAGGAATGGGTAAATTCACTTTAGTCATTGCACTTTAGGGTATTTTCAAAGATTAGTCCCTAAGTTTCTACTATAAATACCCTTACCCATTTAGCTTCAAAATCATCCCAAAACATTTCTTTCTTCCTATACTAGAGAGCTTTCTTGTGAGTAGTGAGTGTTTTGTAAACACCTGTAAATTTTCTCTCTTAGTAAAAGATCTGCAGCAGCCCGGAGACGTAAGCACAATTGGCTGAACTCCGTTATCAATTTTCGGGTATTATTTTTCCGCTTTTATTTCGCATTCTCACTAATCTGGTTAAAGGGAAATTACTTGTACTCGGTTTATTTTCCTAACAATTTGTGTTTCTTCTTTGTCTTCTATGAATATTGCTTCATTTTTTGGTGCAAAAATTTATAATTGCTCATTTCTGTTCAGTTCAATAGTGTTAGGATTTTGGTTTGTATCTTGTCCTGGTTAATATTTAGGATCCAAGCCTTCGTGGTTCTGAACTTAGGGCAACTTTGAAAGGAAATACAATGTCTCTATTATTTGACATTTAAACCCTTTTACTTGTCTGTTCTTTTCAGTAAAATGTTTTTCTTACAATTTTTTTACTTCTTCATAAGTTTGTTTAACATTTCTCCCGACTCTTGCTACGCATAACCATCAGTGCCATTAGTTCTGATAGAGGAAAAGTTGTATCTGGTTCTGATGATCGGTCTGTTATTGTATGGGACAAGCAAACACCCCAGTTGCTGATAGAGTGGCGAATCATCTATCAAGGCCATCGTGAATACGTTCTTCCGTTCTTTGAATCGATGGGATTCAAATGTCCTGACAGAAAAGGAATTGCAGACTACCTACAAGAAGTAAGCACATGATCCAACCGAGTCTATATTCATTCTATTGAAAACTAGAAACCAACTGGCATTTCCTTTTACCTCTTCACATTATAGGTTACATCAGAAAGGATCAACGACAATACTGGTTTCATCAAGAATCACCATATCGTTTCATTTCGGTCAATCAGTTTGCTGAAGCATTCAAGTCATTTCACATAGGATTAGACATCCAGAATCAGCTTGCCATTCCATTTGACAGGTCAAAGAATCATCCTGCAGCTTTGACAAAAACCACACATATGGAGCTAACAAAAGCGAATTGATGAAAGCCTGCTTATCAAGAGAATTCATTTTGTTGAAAGGAAATATGTTCTTGCATGCTTTCAAGATATTTCAGGTAAGTAGCATTATCCCTTTTTCATAAACGCTTCTAACATGATGCCTAGTACTTAAAATTTCATAACTTATGCCTCTTTTGTTTCAGCTTCAAATTAGTGCAGTAATTCTTGCTACCGTCTTTGTGCAAGCTAGAAAGCATCACAGAACACTTGAAGATGGACGCGCTCTTTTCTTTGCTCTTAACACGATTACCTTCACTGGATTTTTCTAGCTTCCCTTGACGATCGATAAGCTTCCGATATTTTACAAGCAAAGAAACCGCCTGTTTTATCCTTCATGGGCATTCTCGTTGCCGACAGCATTTCTTGGTATTTCTATATCAGTATTTGAAGGTGCTATATGGGTTGCCATAACTTACTATGTGATAGGATTTGATCCTAACATTACAAGGCCAGTATTCTTTTTTCCTACTTCTTGCATTCACTTTGCTAACCCCTCTTTCTTTTTCTCGACTCAGGTCTCGTAATGAGTGGACAAATGTCTCACTTATAATTTTTTCTCTTTGTACGCTCCTCTCACTGTCTGCAAGTCTCACTTAATCTTTGATCTGATCCAGAAGATTTGAGTAAGTGTTTAATTTTAATTTTTTCTTCTGATTTGGTAACTTCGAGTTGAAAATGGAAAATAATCGGAGGAAGTGAACTTCCCTTCTAGGAAATTACTTTGATATCCACTTATAAGCTGGATTAAGTTCATCGGTGAGCGAATGCTTCATTTTTTTAGATAATTAGAAAGAACTTTTGATGCTACAACATGTACGATTCGCTCAAATGATTTTTTTTAAAAAATTGCGTTTCGATTTACTTAATTTTCTTACTAATTTAGTAATAGTAGTGAAAATTAGCAAGATTTGGCTTTCTCGCCACTTCGATTTTGCATTGTTTTATATTTTACTTACCTGTCCAGCTGATTTGTATAAACTCTGAAGGATTTTTGATACTTCAAAGCGAAACTAATTTTTCAGCTTCATTAACTTCTAATCTTTTAGCAATTTGACTTTCTATATGTTTCCGCTTGTTTTCTGATTTATTCATAATTAAGTCCTCTTAGATTCTAGATTTGCTAATTTTTTGTTTATATTTTGCTGATTGTTTCCATTTCCAGTTCGTAATTTCACAGATCATATTTAAGCAGAAAGACAGCAATACTTTTGTTGTTTTTTCAAATCTGAAAGACACAAAGGACAATAGAAAAGATGGCAACTAGAACTCCAGGAACCCCAGGCAACAAGATAGACAAGACACCAGTACAACACCTGGAGGCCCAAAACCAAAGGAAGAGAAGATCGTCGTTACTGTAAGATTAAGGCCTTTAAGTAAAAGGGAGCAATTGGCCAAAGATCAAGTAGCATGGGAATGCGTGATGATCACACAATGGTTTTAAGTTTCATGGAAATTTGATGTTTGGGTTTCTTTTTAATGTTTTTTGCTCAGATAAAGTGTTTGGACCATTATGCGTAAATGAAACGGTTTATGAAGGAGTGAAGAATGTTGCTTTGTCTGCTTTGGGAGGCATAAATGGTATTTCAATTCTGATGACTGTTTATTAATTGTTTGTTTTCCCCTTTATTGAACACTTGAAATTATGTAATTTCTGGTACAGCTACTATATTTGCATATGGCCAAACCAGCAATGGGAAGACATACACGATGAGAGGAATAACAGAGAAGGCTGTCAATGACATCTACCAGCATATAATGAATGTGAGATTCAGCTTCCCTTGAAGTCTTAACTATTTTTCTTGTTGCCCATAATTTGATTTGGAGTTTGGATTTTATATGAGTAGTTGGGTAATTTCCTCAATTGTTTTGTTCTCTATTTGAAATTGCTGCAGACACCAGAGAGAGATTTTACCATTAAAATTTCGGGACTAGAAATTTATAATGAGAATGTTAGAGACCTGTTGAATTCTGAATCTTGCCGTAGTCTCAAGCTTCTAGATGATCCGGAGGTAATGGCTGTTATTTAAGCACCTATGCTTTCAATCCTCCTCCAGTCCTTTAGAAGATTTTTGTCTGTTTAATCTGCTCGCAGAAAGGTACTGTGGTTGAGAAGTTGGTGGAAGAAACAGCCAGCAATGATCCTTCTTGGGGTGAGCATTTTTCTTCTTTTTCCCTCCTAAACTTTTCCAGCAGTTTTTTTTGTTTGTTCTGTTTTTGTAACCCTCCCTTTTTGCTTGTGGAAGCAGGAGAAGCTATAGCTTTGGGGTTTCAGCATTATATTTTGGCCTTAGGAACTGTTGTGATGATCCCTTCTTTTCCTGTCCCTTTGATGGGAGGAACTGATGTAAGTCACTTTGTACGTGTAATGAATTACAATACTATTCTTTGTTCTTTTATTATTTGTTACTGAAATTTTTTCATTTCGGCATTGTGATGGTTTAGGATGATAAAGTAAGAGTGATTCAGACACTGCTATTTGTTGAAGGGATTAATACACTTTTACAAAGACTGTTCGGAACTCAACTACCTACCGTTGTAGGCGGTTCTTATGCCTTCATGGTTCCCATCATATCAATAATTCATGATACTTCTTTGCTGAGTATTGAGGATAACCATATGGTTAGTACAATTCTATGATCATTTCCCCCAAATCTTTTACTTTGTTCGTAAAGTTCAATATTTACGTGTATGCAGAGATTTCTATATACTATGAGAGCTGTCCAAGGTGCACTAATAGTAGCATCAAGCATACAAATTATCTTGGGATACAGTCAAATGTGGGCTATTTCCACCAGGTGCAACTTTGATCTTACATGGAGTTTCTGTATCAAAATTATGGAGAGTCATAATTTGAGAACTATTAACTGAGTGGTATTTTGTTTCGTTTTCCTTTTACCCCCTTGGAATGGTTCCGGTTATTGCACTAGTTGGCTTTGGCTTGTTTGACAGAGGCTTCCCTGTGGTATAATATAGAAGCCCCGAGGCTTTTTGAACCCTAATGAGAAATTTTCTTCCTATTATATCATTGTGTAGTTTTAACTTGTTATCGACTCACTATCAGGTTGGTCGCTGCATCGAATCGGCCTCCCGATGCTCATTCAATTTATAGCCTTCTCCCAGGTACTACTATTCCTTCTAGCAATGTAATGGACTAATATTGTTTGCATTAAATGTTGCTACATCAAATGTTGCGTACTGTATCTAATATTAAGATGAGAAGTCTCACATTTGCGAAGTATCAATATTAATATGTATCAAAATAAAATATGAGAAATTATATAGATATGATTTTGAAACAAAATAAAATGTGTATCAAAATAGAAAAAATAATAGTTATTAAACATCAAAATTTTCAATTAGATCGGAACCTACTTTATTTATAAATACATTTTAAATGTTGTAATAAAGATTCGAATGATTTTACAAAAAGAGAATGACATTAAAGTAAAGCGCTACCTAAAATATTACTTTTTCTACTGGTTATGTTATCGGAAATGTTAAAAAAATTAATATTTTAGGTAGAAATAATAAAATTTTAGATATTTTTACCAGTTTTGTAAAAAAAATAATAACAAAATTGTTAGCGTATTTTCTTAGTCGTATGGTAAGGTGGTTGCACTGTGGATAATCCCAAAACCTAAAAGTTGGTAGGGTCAGATTAAAAAGTTTGGGAGTGAATTCCTGAGTACGACAAAAATAATCATAATAGAAAATCATTTTATTTAAAAAGGCCCATAAATTATAACCCTAAACCCTACAAAACCTAAAAATCTTATAAACTCTAAAAACTTTAAAAATCCTACAAACTATAGAAACCTTAAAAATTCAATAAATCTTACAACCTTACAAATTTGACAAACTCTACAAACCCTAAAAATCTTACAAACCTTATAAACCTTAAAACCCCAACACAAACATTAGAAATCCTAAAACTTAAAAATCTTACAAACCATAGAAACTCAAGAAACCCTAGAAACCCTAGAAACCTTACAAACTATAGAAACTCAAGAAACCCTATAAATCCTAGAAACTCTAAAAACTATAAAAATTATATAACCCTAAAAAACGTAAAAACCTTAAAAAATCTTAAAACCCTAAAACCTTAAAACCTTATAACCATATAGACCCTAGAATCCCTAAAAACCCTAGAACCTTTATAACCTAGAAACCTTGAACACCTTAAAAATCCTCGAAACCTTAGAAGCTCAATAAACCCTAAAAAGCCTAAAAACCTTATAATCCTAATAAACCATATTGTTTCTTATTTCCTCAACGATGTGGGATTATGAATTTTTGTCTTGTTTCCACCACGAGCCCTCTTCCCACACATCTATCCAGAAGCAAGTGTAGTTCGCCGGTGATGCTCCTACATTGTTTACGTGGTGAGGTAGCTGTTTATGTTGAATTCTTGGAGGTTAAGTTGAAAAGTAGAGGGTTGTTCCAGTTTCCTCCGGGTAAAATATTTTGGTTTCATTATCCTGAAAACCGAAAAATTGTTCATGTTCTACTTTTAATTTTGGTTTTCTGCAATGGTTATTACTTCCCGCTTTGCAGAGCTGGACAAGTGAAAGGGCGGAATATGCAATGGTTTTTTCTCTCTGCTTTTAGGTGGCAAACAAAATCTGGCTTTTCCTTTCTTTCTGAAGCTTCGTGGAGAACGCAATGGCAACCCAGGAATTCCAGAGCAGATTTATACCCATCGAAATCAGCAGCATTCTCTTCGCGTTCCCCCCCCCCCATGTGGGCTTCTCTTCTACACCAGAAAAAACGCTTCTCTAATGTCATAGAAGAGTGTTTCCTTCCGCTCTCGTCGTCACCTTCCTTGTTTCTCAGAATTCATTTCCATCTACTGGGATTTCCATTTCTCCCATTTTCGATTCTTCATTCGCAAATCTTTTGATTTTCAATGGCTTCTTCGAGTTCTCATCTCATCGCTGACGGATGAATCGCCAATGGTCAGAGAAGCCTCCATGGCTTCTCTTAAGGACATTTCTCCTCTGTACCTTTCTTTCTTTTCTTTTGAAACAATGTTTATATAATTTGGTTTTTTATTCTTTTTAAATCTAATTTGATGTTTTTATTACTTTATTAGGAATCCTCTCCTTGTCCTTGACTGTTGTTCTGCTATTTCTAGAGGTGGCCGTCGGGTAATTTTTGTTTTTCTTCTGTTCTGATTTAGAATACTGGAGTTTGATTATTATTGAATCGTTTATTGTTAAATTTATGGGATCATCATTTCTAGATAAAAAGGACATTGATGCCGCTTATATTGTCAAGCTCGCCAAATTGCCACTGCCGAGATTATCTCTTCTAAGGTGTGCATATTCATTTCTTGGTTCTTTTGTTGCATAAGAGTTAACAACGTGAAAGTTACAAGGGATTCCCTCCAAATTTCTGTTTTTGGTTCTATTGTTCTTCTGGCCATTTTTGCTATCCAACATCTATTTTCTAAACGAGGAAAAAAGTATCATACTTTGTCTGGTTTAGTCTTCAAAAGATAGAAGTTAATATAGTGTTTGTAAGTCTTTGGTTATGTTTCTCTAAGAGTGTTTCCATTGTTCATCTCACTCTTTAATTGTTCTGTTCTTCCCTATCTTGCATCATGTTCAGATTGAGGGGCCCTAGTTCTTTCTGTGCAGTCATATGATATTTTGATTTTTCTCCTAAGACTTCATTGGTTGGTTTTTCAGCTAAACAAAATGTTACTACATCACTAGAGAATTTGAATTCTTGAACCTTCTATGGAACGTAGTTATTCTTTGTTAATTCCATCATCTTCATACCCATAATCACTTGTAAAGTGTGGTTATGACAAATGATATATCTAGGACAGAGGTGTTTATGTTATCGGATGTTATTCTATCTGAAGTCTGGTAAAATGAACATTTACTGAGGTCTGGGCAACTAGGAAAGTGCAATGATCCTTACTGCACTACTTGCCCAATATATTACAATTTCAAACTAGAACAGCAGAAAAATGTTTACAAATAAATGTTTCGTTCTGCAGGTTAGTATTTTTGCGCTCATGTATGATACTATTTTAGATACCATCTGAGAGAGATTAAGACAAAAGATATATATTAAAGGAAACAATGTTTTGTCTCGTGCTGGTCTGATTGAAAAGATGGTTTTTATTGTGCGTGGGAAAATGGAAAGTATAGGAGAAAACGGAATCAAAGTTCCCTTATCTGAAGGGGATGTATGCGGTGAGGAGCTTCTCACTTGGTGTCTTGAGCTTTCTTCAGTAAACCGAGGGACACTTGTTCTTTTTAGCTTTCCCACCCTTGGATTCTTTGATTTTTATTTGCTTAATCATTGCCTTGGAAGCTACCTCGTCATTGCCAAAACGACTGTAAAACAATTCTTTGGAGAAGTTACATTGTTTATGTGGTGAGGTAGCTGTTTTATATTGAATGCTTGGAGGTTAAGTTGAAAAGTTGAGTTTAATCTTTCCCAGAGTGGTCGATTTTCTAGGTAATTTTCCTAGAGGTCACTGTTCAAAAGAAATTGTCACTTAGGTTTGCAGCTTTTCATTTCTACCTATTAAGTTAGCAAACTTAATGTTGAATCAAATTTGACCATTTTATCATAAGATCATTGCAAGTGATAATTCAACTTGTAAATCTTTTCATGAGAAATTTAAAATCAATGCGGTAAATTGGCACTTGACTATCAGGAAATATCAAGTTGTTTACTTTTTTTTCTGTAACATTTGTAGTTAATGGATGTGGATTTCACGATACATTCTTTCGTATGTTGTAGATACATATCTTGCACAGCCTTTTCAACGACTTCTGCATTAACAGATTGGAGTAGTGTATTTTTTCTGTTATATATACATCTGTCCCTACTATTGTTGTTGGCATTCTTGACAATGACTTGAGTCATAAAACACTCCTAAGTGACATGATGCGTATAATCTGCAACTCTTTTGGATCACAATGATTTACACACTATGGCAGAGCCTTGTTCTATTCTATATACCTTTTTTCACATATAAGGAGAGCTCAATTGATATATGGAGCATGGGCAGTTTTGTGGACTATAGCAGTTGTTATTCTTGTTAATATACACTTGGCGATGGACATTCAGCGTTGGGTATTCATTACTCATGCTGCAGTGTGGGGATCAATAATTATCACATGTGCTTGTATGGTGGTATTGGATTCTATACCTATCTTCCCAGATTACTGGTTAGTTTCACCTCATAATATAATTTCCTGATCTTCAGTTCCAAAGTTTTAGTGTGTTGATTTTATGTTTTTCTTATATTTTTTACATTTGGCAGGGCAATCTACCATGTGGCAAAGTCACCCACCTATTGGCTCACCATTTTGCTTATAATAATTGTGGCTTTACTTCCTCGCTTTCTTCTCAAAGTTATACATCAGAATTTTTGGCCTTCAGATATTCAAATATCCAGAGAAGCAGAGATTCTTAGAAAAGTGACTCCTAATTTTAGGGACAGATGAAGATTCCAATTAACATGTACATTACACCCTGTTTTGAAATGGTTACTCATCTATCCATCATATGGCTGTCCTGTGGCATGCAATTGTAATTTATGGTAAGCACATACTCCAATCTTCTTTTGTTACAAATTTCATACACGTGTTACCAATGAAATTAATCAGCATTAATAGTTATTTTTTATGCTTCCTCTGTGAATGCTTCCCTCCAATTCACAACTTTAACAATTAAATGGACAAAATTTGATGATACCCTTACTCATATCATAAGTCTAAGTTGTGAGTTTTACATTATGTTAAGATCTTGAAGAATTTTACATAAAGAAGGTTCAAGGTAATATTTCTTAGCTAATTTCGATGTTTCAAATATATACTATAGCTACATGTCAATACCATTTCAATCAAAATTTCAGGCAAGTGGTATTGTTGTACTCTTTCAATGTTTTGCACATATTAACGACATATACTATCATTTGCTTGCCATTTTGGAACGCTGTTTGCATTCAAGTATAACTTAATATGTTGCAGTCATTGTGACCATTGTGGTGCTTGTAGTTTTTGGGTAAATAAATTACACTTATTACTTGGTAGAGTTATAATTCCTTACTCAAGAGAGAGGTTAACAATTTTGGACAGAGTGGGCTACCATTGACCAAGTCTGGCATGTTGTTTCTAATACTATTAATATGATGCATAATATCATATGTTGCCTTCCACCCCAATTTTCGTACTAGTGTACAACATTTGTGAGCTGTGTGAATATATTGATACAGCATACTAATACCGATACTATATGTAATATTGTTGATGTTATATAATTCTATGGTTCCGCAGATGATGAGTTGCAAAAAGCTGAATTTGCAGCAGGCTTGTGAAACATTAATGAAAAAGCACGGCAGAATATTTTTATGTAAAGGGAAAGAGAGGGAGGGTTGGTCAAAGTGAACGCAGAGTGGCCTGTTGCTGTATACTTCATGTTTTTTTAAGAAGGAAAACCAAATGGTGGAAAGTTTGCTTCCCCAACAAATAGGTGAAATGAATGCTCAGTTTTCCGAGTAAAGAGAATTCATCGAGAAGTTTGTTGGGGTGTTAGCAGTCAGCAGTAGAATGAGGGGTAATGTATACTTATATATTAAAATAGCTTGTGTAGCAACTCATTGTTAGCCTTTCACCCTTCTGTTATATATATATATATTGTTAATACCAGTGGATTTGAAATGCAACCATAGTTCCAGCCATCGTTAGAAGGTATCCTTTTCGAACCCTAAGCTAAAGATTAATGTTGCATTTTGCAGAAAGGAAAGCCTCTCGGGTCTAAATTTTTTCGTTAAACCTGTCAAATATTGAACTACGTTCCAGTATAATGTTAATTTTATCTGTTAATGCTTTAGTCACGCGAAAGCCAGGTTATTGGAGAAGATTTTTTCGGAGAAATTGATTGGCACTTGAAAGAAAGGTAGGCTTAAATCGGTGTATTGTACATCAGCTTGTTTGTGAAGTGATCAACTGTAAGGAGTCCGGCTTCTTTCAGGAGAATTTGTAGTGAGATTGATTGGCAGTCAAAGAAGGTAGGCTTACACCCGTCTACTAGTTTGTTGTGTATTATGTACATGCATTGAGAAATTCCAAGTTAATTTATGGACTGTTTCTTCTTTGAAATTCCATTCATTCTTTTTTATGGTCACAGAATATACATTCATTTGTGATTTTTATGGATTGTTGGTATTTTTTTCCCTTCATATATTTGGATTATAGAATATTCTTAATACAAATTACATGAGGTACAAAAATTTAGATTAAAAAAAATATTTTAAATACGATTATAGTGTCATAAATATAATACAAATAATTAAACAAATCGATGAGTCTAATATTTAGCGATCACAAAAGGCATTCAAATTGCGTGACATTGATATTTGGGTTTAGTAATATGAGTCGTCCCATAATGCGAGTCTAACAGAAGATGATTGATATATTAATGATTAAAATTTTATTTTTAAAATTTGATGAGGAACAAATTCAAAAAATATTAAAAAAAATCTGTTTTAGGTGATCTTAAATAAAACATGAGAAAAGCATAGGAAAGAAAAGACCAACTTAGAGGGAGTGGGGCAACGTGGAATTGGAAGCCCAAAAGTAATGGGGTGAGTAAAAGATACCCTAAACCCTAAAAAATAAGTCCGAGACTAAAAGCCGCCCACCTAACCTAATATCTTCCAACAGCCAGGTGGTGAACCTGGAGCCCAAGCCGACCGTCCCACAGCACAACATAGGCCTACGGCCCTGTACATGGGTTATTGTAGGCTATGTATATGGGTTTGTACTTCTGTTTTAAATACCATTTTGTACTTCTGTAGATGTGGGATATTGCTCTACCCCTTTGCTCTTCTCCGCCTGATTCAAAGAATGTAATAGATGTCTTTTAAAAATCATACCTTTGTTTGCTCTTTGATTTGTCCTTGCTGATAGGGATGGCAACGGGCCGGGTATTGGTCCCCGTCTCCGTTCCCGTTTAAAAAATCAGTACCCGTCCCCGTTTAAAAAACCGCGGGGATTTAAACGGGGATCCCCGTCGGGTAATCAGGGAAAACCGCGGGGAAACGGGTATCCCCGTTTAGCATAAACGGTTATTTAAACGGTATTGGGTCGGGTATTGGGTCGGTTATTGGGCCGAGAATCGGCCAGTATATATATATATTTAAATTATATAAATATATATTTTTTTATTTAAATTAAATTTATTAATATTATATATATATATATATATATATATATATATATAATTATTTTTAATATTTATCGGGTCGGATATCGGGGCGGGTAATCGGGTAATCGGGGCGGGGATTACCAAACTCGTCCCCGTCCCCGTCCCCGTCCCCGTTTAAAATAAATAGGTTTTCCCCGTCCCCGTCCCCATCGCCGTTTATCATCCCCGAACCCGATCCGTTTAATTCGGTTTTCGATTTTCCCCGTCGGGTTCGAGTTTTTTTGCCATCCCTACTTGCTGAACATAAAAAAGCACTTCATTTCCTCTAACTTGCCAAAACAAAAACTCTTCAGGTTATACACCCGAAATTGTTGCTTCAAAAGGAGGAGAATAGAGTCGGATAAGGAACAAGGGAAAGAAAAATACCCAGAAAAGTCCAGGTTCCAAACAATGAAAAAATGAAGAAAAGAAGAACAGGTGGTTTGAAACAAAAGCGAAAGCCAGCTAAAAAGTAAAACCCAGACAACATTGCATGCATTCAACGATTGAAATCAAGACAATATGGCCACAATATTTTATACGAATGTGTAATTTATTTTTTATCTTTCTTTTTATTATAAGTGGAAGAAAACGTAAGACTAAGTTACATAGAAATTTTTAGGGAAAGAGACTCTTCTAAGATCAGCATCCAAAAATGATAGAACTCCATTCGATAGAGACTCAAAAACAGCTAGCTCCTCGTCCAGAGAATAAGCCCATTTTTGATAATATATCAGCACAGAAAAAATGATTACACCTTGGGCACAAGAGAAAAATAAAATGTTTGTTTATTTAAATTTATCGTGAAGATGTTTACACTCATAAAAAAGTATATTTTCGATATTTATAAATATTCGAATATTTTTTATTCTTTTTAAGTGGATTGGTAATTTTTAATTAATTAATTTTGTTTGTTTAATTTTTTTTTATAATATCATGTTCATTCACGCATGCTCTTAAAATATATATTAATGAATACTTTTTTAATATAGAAGAGTGGAATTTTTATTTTTAAATGGAAAAAGAACTGGTTGCTTTAACTCATAAGATGCATTTTCTTCTGGGTGGGAAATGGCTAAATATTCTGAATTTCATTATTGAATTCAAGAATGAAAAAATTGGAATTTGTGCGGTTATTTATAAAAAGGATCCTTAAACCCTAAACCATAAATATTGAACCCCAAATCTCAAACCCCATACCCTAGCTCTTGAATCCAAACCAGAACCATAGATCTTAAACCCTAACCTTAAACACTAGATTTAATATTTAATTATTATTTTTAATTTATTAAAGTATTATTTATGATTTATTAATATTTAAAAATTTATTTATTTTATTATTTTTTAAAAAACATTTAAGTTAAATAAAATTTAATGGTTTAACATTTTTTATAGTTTATTATGGTTTTATTTATAAATTATTATGTTTTAATAATTTAATAATTTATTATATTTTACAATTGTTTACCCAAACCCCCAACCCAAGTACCGAGCCTACTAACCTTCAGGCCAATACATTTAAAATTATATTTATAATATCTCCCATACAAGTTAAAACCATAGCCCAATTAACCATAAGCCCTAAACCCCCGAAATTCAACCACCTAATATAATTTAATTTACAATAAAACCCATACAAGTTAAAACCCAAACCTAATTAACCATCAACCGTATACATATCAATAAAACCCATATAACCATTACAATTAAAAAGCTCAAACCAACAGAAACCCACGAGGTAGATCCATCCATCACCCTCCAGAGCCTTCCAATTCTTTCCACTTTGCTTACTTTTGGTGCTTTGGGAAGGTAAGATCCATCCATCACCCTGAACCCTGAACCCTGAACCCTGAACCCTGAACCCCAGACCCCTGAACCCGAACCCCAGACCCCAGACCCCAGACCCCAGACCCCAGACCCCAGACCCCAGACCCCCAGACCAGAGCCCAGAGCCCCGAGCCCCGAGCCCCGAGCCCCGAGCCCCGAGCCCCGAGCCCCGAGACCCTACACCCTACACCCCGAGCCCCGAGCCCCGAGCCCCGAGCCCCGAGACCCTAGACCCTAGACCCTAGACCCTAGACCCTAGACCCTAGACCCTAGACCCTAGACCCTAGACCCTAGACCCTAGACCCTACACCCTACACCCTACACCCTACACCCTACACCCTACACCCTACACCCTGGACCCTGGACCCTGGACCCTGGACCCTGGACCCTGGACCCTGGACCCTGGACCCTGGACCCTGAGCCCTGAGCCCTGAGCCCTGAGCCCTGAGCCCTGAGCCCTGAGCCCTGAGCCCTGAACAAAACCCGCCTGCCCGTGCCTATCTGTAGAAATACTTAGGTTTTTTTTAATTTGATTTTTTATGACATTTTATGAGTTTAATTATAGCACATGACTTTACACTTTCAAAAAATTGTGAGTTTGACCCGACATTTCATCTTGTGTATATTATAGTCATCAATCATAGTAAATTGGCTTCAATTTGTGAGCAGGAATTGAGTTGATTAAGAAAGAATGTATTTTGAAAATAACACAAAATGACAATTTCAGTAATAAGCTGCAAGAGTTATGTTGTCCAAATATTTTTTGATTGGGCCTGAGATAATTAGGAAGGAATTCACTTAAAATAAATATTAAAATGAGAATATATGGACGGGTTAAGATCAAAATCAAGCCAGATTTTATTTCAGGTTTTAGCAATTAGGTTAGACGCTATAATTCTAATATTTTTATTCAAATTATTTTAGATTTTCTAATATATATAATCAATTCTTATAATCAAATGGAACGATTGAAGATGATAAATTGAAGTAATGAATGAAGTAATCATCACCTGAACCATTGCTGGTTGGAGCAACGGCAGGTCCCTCAATCTCTGCTGGAGAAGGCGCTGGAGAGATTCCAGTGTAGCTGTGCCGTGGAGACAACACGACCACAACCAACTTCTGGCCCTGCTCACAGTGACCCTTAGCTCCACTAATGAAGTAAAATGGGCCTAGCACCGAGTCTTGGCCACTATCATATTTCCACACTGTAATATAAAGACTTAGAAAAGCAAAAAGGAAGAGTGTCACAAAGTGGAGTTTGTTTAGTACGTATATTACCGAGAGAGTCGCCGATGCGGAAACGGAACTGCCGGCCCATTTGTTGAGGGAGTCGGATTCAGAGGATGGGATCTTCCAAGCGTTTTCCTTGCCACCAACCAATATTTCTATGGCTTCTTCAGCCGTGCACCTTCTAGCAGAACCTTTTTCCAAGATTTTGTAAATTTCATTAGCAGTAGTTTCTAGCTCTTCTTCCAAGCCTCTGACAAAAACTCCCCCTTTTCCATCTTCCATAAGAGCAATGGGTTTCTTAGATTTATCATCAATGGGTTTCCACAAAAACTCCCCCTTTTAAATAAGCATGAAAAGCTTGAGAAATAAGAAAGGGCGCCTCAAGCTTAACGCCGTCGATGTATTATATCCGACCGTTACAAATGTCAGGTAATAATAAAGGAATTTTGAAAAAATTCAAAAAGAAAAACGGTGGGGTTTTGTGACTGTTTGCTGGGATGAAGTCTCATTCCAACGGCTATTTTCGCACGCTCTTAAGTCCTCCGCGGATCTTATTATATGGGTCATCGTGAAGATGCTGGTTTCTGTATTAATGGAAGCTCCGACTGTACAGTGAGTGGCTTTATCTTTTATTTTATATATATTTAATAACATAATTCATGTTCTACATTGGTGGTGTTTGCTTTTATATGACTGAAGCAACGACATGGGGATTCCCTCCAAATTTCTGTTTTGCTTCTATTTTGCTCTTCTGGCCATTTTGCCTATCCAACATCTTTTTTCTAAAGGAGGAAAAAGGATCATACTTTGTCTGTTTACTCTTCAAAAGATAGAAGTTAATATAGTGTTTGTAAGACTTTGGTTATGTTTCTCTAATTCCATTGTTCATCTCACTCTATAATTGTTCTGTTCTTCCCTATCTTGCATCATGTTCAGTTTGAGGGGCTCTAGTTCTTTCTGTGCAGTCATATGATATTTTGATTTTTCTCCTAAGACTTCATTGGTTGGTTTTTCAGCTAAACAAAATGTCACTACATCACTAGAGAATTCGAATTCTTGAACCTTCCATGGAACTTAGTTACTCTTTGTTAATTCCATCATCTTCATACCCATGATCACTTGTAAAGTGTGGTTATGACATGATATATCTAGGACAGAGGTGTTTATGTTATCTGAAATTGTATTTGAAAAATTACTACTGTCACATGTCTAGGAATAATGCATTTGTGTTTCTTCTTTGTCTTCTATGAATATTGCTTCATTTTTTGGTGCAAAAATTTATAATTGCTCATTTCTGTTCAGTTCAATAGTGTTAGGATTTTGGTTTGTATCTTGTCCTGGTTAATATTTAGGATCCAAGCCTTCGTGGTTCTGAACTTAGGGCAACTTTGAAAGGAAATACAATGTCTCTATTATTTGACATTTAAACCCTTTTACTTGTCTGTTCTTTTCAGTAAAATGTTTTTCTTACAATTTTTTTACTTCTTCATAAGTTTGTTTAACATTTCTCCCGACTCTTGCTACGCATAACCATCAGTGCCATTAGTTCTGATAGAGGAAAAGTTGTATCTGGTTCTGATGATCGGTCTGTTATTGTATGGGACAAGCAAACACCCCAGTTGCTGATAGAGTGGCGAATCATCTATCAAGGCCATCGTGAATACGTTCTTCCGTTCTTTGAATCGATGGGATTCAAATGTCCTGACAGAAAAAGGAATTGCAGACTACCTACAAGAAGTAAGCACATGATCCAACCGAGTCTATATTCATTCTATTGAAAACTAGAAACCAACTGGCATTTCCTTTTACCTCTTCACATTATAGGTTACATCAAGAAAGGATCAACGACAATACTGGTTTCATCAAGAATCACCATATCGTTTCATTTCGGTCAATCAGTTTGCTGAAGCATTCAAGTCATTTCACATAGGATTAGACATCCAGAATCAGCTTGCCATTCCATTTGACAGGTCAAAGAATCATCCTGCAGCTTTGACAAAAACCACACATATGGAGCTAACAAAAGCGAATTGATGAAAGCCTGCTTATCAAGAGAATTCATTTTGTTGAAAGGAAATATGTTCTTGCATGCTTTCAAGATATTTCAGGTAAGTAGCATTATCCCTTTTTCATAAACGCTTCTAACATGATGCCTAGTACTTAAAATTTCATAACTTATGCCTCTTTTGTTTCAGCTTCAAATTAGTGCAGTAATTCTTGCTACCGTCTTTGTGCAAGCTAGAAAGCATCACAGAACACTTGAAGATGGACGCGCTCTTTTCTTTGCTCTTAACACGATTACCTTCACTGGATTTTTCTAGCTTCCCTTGACGATCGATAAGCTTCCGATATTTTACAAGCAAAGAAACCGCCTGTTTTATCCTTCATGGGCATTCTCGTTGCCGACAGCATTTCTTGGTATTTCTATATCAGTATTTGAAGGTGCTATATGGGTTGCCATAACTTACTATGTGATAGGATTTGATCCTAACATTACAAGGCCAGTATTCTTTTTTCCTACTTCTTGCATTCACTTTGCTAACCCCTCTTTCTTTTTCTCGACTCAGGTCTCGTAATGAGTGGACAAATGTCTCACTTATAATTTTTTCTCTTTGTACGCTCCTCTCACTGTCTGCAAGTCTCACTTAATCTTTGATCTGATCCAGAAGATTTGAGTAAGTGTTTAATTTTAATTTTTTCTTCTGATTTGGTAACTTCGAGTTGAAAATGGAAAATAATCGGAGGAAGTGAACTTCCCTTCTAGGAAATTACTTTGATATCCACTTATAAGCTGGATTAAGTTCATCGGTGAGCGAATGCTTCATTTTTTTAGATAATTAGAAAGAACTTTTGATGCTACAACATGTACGATTCGCTCAAATGATTTTTTTTAAAAAATTGCGTTTCGATTTACTTAATTTTCTTACTAATTTAGTAATAGTAGTGAAAATTAGCAAGATTTGGCTTTCTCGCCACTTCGATTTTGCATTGTTTTATATTTTACTTACCTGTCCAGCTGATTTGTATAAACTCTGAAGGATTTTTGATACTTCAAAGCGAAACTAATTTTTCAGCTTCATTAACTTCTAATCTTTTAGCAATTTGACTTTCTATATGTTTCCGCTTGTTTTCTGATTTATTCATAATTAAGTCCTCTTAGATTCTAGATTTGCTAATTTTTTGTTTATATTTTGCTGATTGTTTCCATTTCCAGTTCGTAATTTCACAGATCATATTTAAGCAGAAAGACAGCAATACTTTTGTTGTTTTTTCAAATCTGAAAGACACAAAGGACAATAGAAAAGATGGCAACTAGAACTCCAGGAACCCCAGGCAACAAGATAGACAAGACACCAGTAACAACACCTGGAGGCCCAAAACCAAAGGAAGAGAAGATCGTCGTTACTGTAAGATTAAGGCCTTTAAGTAAAAGGGAGCAATTGGCCAAAGATCAAGTAGCATGGGAATGCGTTGATGATCACACAATGGTTTTAAGTTTCATGGAAATTTGATGTTTGGGTTTCTTTTTAATGTTTTTTGCTCAGATAAAGTGTTTGGACCATTATGCGTAAATGAAACGGTTTATGAAGGAGTGAAGAATGTTGCTTTGTCTGCTTTGGGAGGCATAAATGGTATTTCAATTCTGATGACTGTTTATTAATTGTTTGTTTTCCCCTTTATTGAACACTTGAAATTATGTAATTTCTGGTACAGCTACTATATTTGCATATGGCCAAACCAGCAATGGGAAGACATACACGATGAGAGGAATAACAGAGAAGGCTGTCAATGACATCTACCAGCATATAATGAATGTGAGATTCAGCTTCCCTTGAAGTCTTAACTATTTTTCTTGTTGCCCATAATTTGATTTGGAGTTTGGATTTTATATGAGTAGTTGGGTAATTTCCTCAATTGTTTTGTTCTCTATTTGAAATTGCTGCAGACACCAGAGAGAGATTTTACCATTAAAATTTCGGGACTAGAAATTTATAATGAGAATGTTAGAGACCTGTTGAATTCTGAATCTTGCCGTAGTCTCAAGCTTCTAGATGATCCGGAGGTAATGGCTGTTATTTAAGCACCTATGCTTTCATCCTCCTCCAGTCCTTTAGAAGATTTTGTCTGTTTAATCTGCTCGCAGAAAGGTACTGTGGTTGAGAAGTTGGTGGAAGAAACAGCCAGCAATGATCCTTCTTGGGGTGAGCATTTTTCTTCTTTTCCCTCCTAAACTTTTCCAGCAGTTTTTTTTTTTGTTCTGTTTTTGTAACCCTCCCTTTTTGCTTGTGGAAGCAGGAGAAGCTATAGCTTTGGGGTTTCAGCATTATATTTTGGCCTTAGGAACTGTTGTGATGATCCCTTCTTTTCCTGTCCCTTTGATGGGAGGAACTGATGTAAGTCACTTTGTACGTGTAATGAATTACAATACTATTCTTTGTTCTTTTATTATTTGTTACTGAAATTTTTTCATTTCGGCATTGTGATGGTTTAGGATGATAAAGTAAGAGTGATTCAGACACTGCTATTTGTTGAAGGGATTAATACACTTTTACAAAGACTGTTCGGAACTCAACTACCTACCGTTGTAGGCGGTTCTTATGCCTTCATGGTTCCCATCATATCAATAATTCATGATACTTCTTTGCTGAGTATTGAGGATAACCATATGGTTAGTACAATTCTATGATCATTTCCCCCAAATCTTTTACTTTGTTCGTAAAGTTCAATATTTTACGTGTATGCAGAGATTTCTATATACTATGAGAGCTGTCCAAGGTGCACTAATAGTAGCATCAAGCATACAAATTATCTTGGGATACAGTCAAATGTGGGCTATTTCCACCAGGTGCAACTTTGATCTTACATGGAGTTTCTGTATCAAAATTATGGAGAGTCATAATTTGAGAAACTATTAACTGAGTGGTATTTTGTTTTCGTTTTCCTTTTACCCCCTTGGAATGGTTCCGGTTATTGCACTAGTTGGCTTTGGCTTGTTTGACAGAGGCTTCCCTGTGGTATAATATAGAAGCCCCGAGGCTTTTTTGAACCCTAATGAGAAATTTTCTTCCTATTATATCATTGTGTAGTTTTAACTTGTTATCGACTCACTATCAGGTTGGTCGCTGCATCGAAATCGGCCTCCCGATGCTCATTCAATTTATAGCCTTCTCCCAGGTACTACTATTCCTTCTAGCAATGTAATGGACTAATATTGTTTGCATTAAATGTTGCTACATCAAATGTTGCGTACTGTATCTAATATTAAGATGAGAAGTCTCACATTTGCGAAGTATCAATATTAATATGTATCAAAATAAAATATGAGAAATTATATTAGATATGATTTTGAAACAAAATAAAATGTGTATCAAAATAGAAAAAATAATAGTTATTAAACATCAAAATTTTCAATTAGATCGGAACCTACTTTATTTATAAATACATTTTAAATGTTGTAATAAAGATTCGAATGATTTTACAAAAAGAGAATGACATTAAAGTAAAGCGCTACCTAAAATATTACTTTTTCTACTGGTTATGTTATCGGAAATGTTAAAAAAAATTAATATTTTAGGTAGAAATAATAAAATTTTAGATATTTTTTACCAGTTTTGTAAAAAAAATAATAACAAAATTGTTAGCGTATTTTCTTAGTCGTATGGTAAGGTGGTTGCACTGTGGATAATCCCAAAACCTAAAAGTTGGTAGGGTCAGATTAAAAAGTTTGGGAGTGAATTCCTGAGTACGACAAAAATAATCATAATAGAAAATCATTTTATTTAAAAAGGCCCATAAATTATAACCCTAAACCCTACAAAACCTAAAAATCTTATAAACTCTAAAAACTTTAAAAATCCTACAAACTATAGAAACCTTAAAAATTCAATAAATCTTACAAACCTTACAAATTTGACAAACTCTACAAACCCTAAAAATCTTACAAACCTTATAAACCTTAAAACCCCAACACAAACATTAGAAATCCTAAAAACTTAAAAATCTTACAAACCATAGAAACTCAAGAAACCCTAGAAACCCTAGAAACCTTACAAACTATAGAAACTCAAGAAACCCTATAAATCCTAGAAACTCTAAAAACTATAAAAATTATATAAACCCTAAAAAACGTAAAAACCTTAAAAATCTTAAAACCCTATAAACCTTAAAACCTTATAACCATATAGACCCTAGAATCCCTAAAAACCCTAGAACCTTTATAACCTAGAAACCTTGAACACCTTAAAAATCCTCGAAACCTTAGAAGCTCAATAAACCCTAAAAAGCCTAAAAACCTTATAATCCTAATAAACCATATTGTTTCTTATTTCCTCAACGATGTGGGATTATGAATTTTTGTCTTGTTTCCACCACGAGCCCTCTTCCCACACATCTATCCAGAAGCAAGTGTAGTTCGCCGGTGATGCTCCTACATTGTTTACGTGGTGAGGTAGCTGTTTATGTTGAATTCTTGGAGGTTAAGTTGAAAAGTAGAGGGTTGTTCCAGTTTCCTCCGGGTAAAATATTTTGGTTTCATTATCCTGAAAACCGAAAAATTGTTCATGTTCTACTTTTAATTTTGGTTTTCTGCAATGGTTATTACTTCCCGCTTTGCAGAGCTGGACAAGTGAAAGGGCGGAATATGCAATGGTTTTTTTCTCTCTGCTTTTAGGTGGCAAACAAAATCTGGCTTTTCCTTTCTTTCTGAAGCTTCGTGGAGAACGCAATGGCAACCCAGGAATTCCAGAGCAGATTTATACCCATCGAAATCAGCAGCATTCTCTTCGCGTTCCCCCCCCCCATGTGGGCTTCTCTTCTACACCAGAAAAAACGCTTCTCTAATGTCATAGAAGAGTGTTTCCTTCCGCTCTCGTCGTCACCTTCCTTGTTTCTCAGAATTCATTTCCATCTACTGGGATTTCCATTTCTCCCATTTTCGATTCTTCATTCGCAAATCTTTTGATTTTCAATGGCTTCTTCGAGTTCTCATCTCATCGCTGACGGATGAATCGCCAATGGTCAGAGAAGCCTCCATGGCTTCTCTTAAGGACATTTCTCCTCTGTACCTTTCTTTCTTTTCTTTTGAAACAATGTTTATATAATTTGGTTTTTTATTCTTTTTAAATCTAATTTGATGTTTTTATTACTTTATTAGGAATCCTCTCCTTGTCCTTGACTGTTGTTCTGCTATTTCTAGAGGTGGCCGTCGGGTAATTTTTGTTTTTCTTCTGTTCTGATTTAGAATACTGGAGTTTGATTATTATTGAATCGTTTATTGTTAAATTTATGGGATCATCATTTCTAGATAAAAAGGACATTGATGCCGCTTATATTGTCAAGCTCGCCAAAATTGCCACTGCCGAGATTATCTCTTCTAAGGTGTGCATATTCATTTCTTGGTTCTTTTGTTGCATAAGAGTTAACAACGTGAAAGTTACAAGGGATTCCCTCCAAATTTCTGTTTTTGGTTCTATTGTTCTTCTGGCCATTTTTGCTATCCAACATCTATTTTCTAAACGAGGAAAAAAGTATCATACTTTGTCTGGTTTAGTCTTCAAAAGATAGAAGTTAATATAGTGTTTGTAAGTCTTTGGTTATGTTTCTCTAAGAGTGTTTCCATTGTTCATCTCACTCTTTAATTGTTCTGTTCTTCCCTATCTTGCATCATGTTCAGATTGAGGGGCCCTAGTTCTTTCTGTGCAGTCATATGATATTTTGATTTTTCTCCTAAGACTTCATTGGTTGGTTTTTCAGCTAAACAAAATGTTACTACATCACTAGAGAATTTGAATTCTTGAACCTTCTATGGAACGTAGTTATTCTTTGTTAATTCCATCATCTTCATACCCATAATCACTTGTAAAGTGTGGTTATGACAAATGATATATCTAGGACAGAGGTGTTTATGTTATCGGATGTTATTCTATCTGAAGTCTGGTAAAAATGAACATTTACTGAGGTCTGGGCAACTAGGAAAGTGCAATGATCCTTACTGCACTACTTGCCCAATATATTACAATTTCAAACTAGAACAGCAGAAAAATGTTTACAAATAAATGTTTCGTTCTGCAGGTTAGTATTTTTGCGCTCATGTATGATACTATTTTAGATACCATCTGAGAGAGATTAAGACAAAAGATATATATTAAAGGAAACAATGTTTTGTCTCGTGCTGGTCTGATTGAAAAGATGGTTTTTATTGTGCGTGGGAAAATGGAAAGTATAGGAGAAAACGGAATCAAAGTTCCCTTATCTGAAGGGGATGTATGCGGTGAGGAGCTTCTCACTTGGTGTCTTGAGCTTTCTTCAGTAAACCGAGGGACACTTGTTCTTTTTAGCTTTCCCACCCTTGGATTCTTTGATTTTTATTTGCTTAATCATTGCCTTGGAAGCTACCTCGTCATTGCCAAAAACGACTGTAAAACAATTCTTTGGAGAAGTTACATTGTTTATGTGGTGAGGTAGCTGTTTTATATTGAATGCTTGGAGGTTAAGTTGAAAAGTTGAGTTTAATCTTTCCCAGAGTGGTCGATTTTCTAGGTAATTTTCCTAGAGGTCACTGTTCAAAAGAAATTGTCACTTAGGTTTGCAGCTTTTCATTTCTACCTATTAAGTTAGCAAACTTAATGTTGAATCAAATTTGACCATTTTATCATAAGATCATTGCAAGTGATAATTCAACTTGTAAATCTTTTCATGAGAAATTTAAAATCAATGCGGTAAATTGGCACTTGACTATCAGGAAATATCAAGTTGTTTACTTTTTTTTCTGTAACATTTGTAGTTAATGGATGTGGATTTCACGATACATTCTTTCGTATGTTGTAGATACATATCTTGCACAGCCTTTTCAACGACTTCTGCATTAACAGATTGGAGTAGTGTATTTTTTCTGTTATATATACATCTGTCCCTACTATTGTTGTTGGCATTCTTGACAATGACTTGAGTCATAAAACACTCCTAAGTGACATGATGCGTATAATCTGCAACTCTTTTGGATCACAATGATTTACACACTATGGCAGAGCCTTGTTCTATTCTATATACCTTTTTTCACATATAAGGAGAGCTCAATTGATATATGGAGCATGGGCAGTTTGTGGACTATAGCAGTTGTTATTCTTGTTAATATACACTTGGCGATGGACATTCAGCGTTGGGTATTCATTACTCATGCTGCAGTGTGGGGATCAATAATTATCACATGTGCTTGTATGGTGGTATTGGATTCTATACCTATCTTCCCAGATTACTGGTTAGTTTCACCTCATAATATAATTTCCTGATCTTCAGTTCCAAAGTTTTAGTGTGTTGATTTTATGTTTTTCTTATATTTTTTACATTTGGCAGGGCAATCTACCATGTGGCAAAGTCACCCACCTATTGGCTCACCATTTTGCTTATAATAATTGTGGCTTTACTTCCTCGCTTTCTTCTCAAAGTTATACATCAGAATTTTTGGCATTCAGATATTCAAATATCCAGAGAAGCAGAGATTCTTAGAAAAGTGACTCCTAATTTTAGGGACAGATGAAGATTCCAATTAACATGTACATTACACCCTGTTTTGAAATGGTTACTCATGTCTATCCATCATATGGCTGTCCTGTGGCATGCAATTGTAATTTATGGTAAGCACATACTCCAATCTTCTTTTGTTACAAATTTCATACACGTGTTACCAATGAAATTAATCAGCATTAATAGTTATTTTTTATGCTTCCTCTGTGAATGCTTCCCTCCAATTCACAACTTTAACAATTAAATGGACAAAATTTGATGATACCCTTACTCATATCATAAAGTCTAAGTTGTGAGTTTTACATTATGTTAAGATCTTGAAGAATTTTACATAAAGAAGGTTCAAGGTAATATTTCTTAGCTAATTTCGATGTTTCAAATATATACTATAGCTACATGTCAATACCATTTCAATCAAAATTTCAGGCAAGTGGTATTGTTGTACTCTTTCAATGTTTTGCACATATTAACGACATATACTATCATTTGCTTGCCATTTTGGAACGCTGTTTGCATTCAAGTATAACTTAATATGTTGCAGTCATTGTGACCATTGTGGTGCTTGTAGTTTTTGGGTAAATAAATTACACTTATTACTTGGTAGAGTTATAATTCCTTACTCAAGAGAGAGGGTTAACAATTTTGGACAGAGTGGGCTACCATTGACCAAGTCTGGCATGTTGTTTCTAATACTATTAATATGATGCATAATATCATATGTTGCCTTCCACCCCAATTTTCGTACTAGTGTACAACATTTGTGAGCTGTGTGAATATATTGATACAGCATACTAATACCGATACTATATGTAATATTGTTGATGTTATATAATTCTATGGTTCCGCAGATGATGAGTTGCAAAAAGCTGAATTTGCAGCAGGCTTGTGAAACATTAATGAAAAAGCACGGCAGAATATTTTTATGTAAAGGGAAAGAGAGGGAGGGTTGGTCAAAGTGAACGCAGAGTGGCCTGTTGCTGTATACTTCATGTTTTTTTAAGAAGGAAAACCAAATGGTGGAAAGTTTGCTTCCCCAACAAATAGGTGAAATGAATGCTCAGTTTTCCGAGTAAAGAGAATTCAATCGAGAATGTTTGTTGGGGTGTTAGCAGTCAGCAGTAGAATGAGGCTGGTAATGTATACTTATATATTAAAATAGCTTGTGTAGCAACTCATTGTTAGCCTTTCACCCTTCTGTTATATATATATATATATATATATATATATATATTGTTAATACCAGTGGATTTGAAATGCAACCATAGTTCCAGCCATCGTTAGAAGGTATCCTTTTCGAACCCTAAGCTAAAGATTAATGTTGCATTTTGCAGAAAGGAAAGCCTCTCGGGGTCTAAATTTTTTCGTTAAACCTGTCAAATATTGAACTACGTTCCAGTATAATGTTAATTTTATCTGTTAATGCTTTAGTCACGCGAAAGCCAGGTTATTGGAGAAGATTTTTTCGGAGAAATTGATTGGCACTTGAAAGAAAGGTAGGCTTAAATCGGTGTATTGTACATCAAGCTTGTTTGTGAAGTGATCAACTGTAAGGAGTCCGGCTTCTTTCAGGAGAATTTTGTAGTGAGATTGATTGGCAGTCAAAGAAGGTAGGCTTACACCCGTCTACTAGTTTGTTGTGTATTATGTACATGCATTGAGAAATTCCAAGTTAATTTATGGACTGTTTCTTCTTTGAAATTCCATTCATTCTTTTTTATGGTCACAGAATATACATTCATTTGTGATTTTTATGGATTGTTGGTATTTTTTTCCCTTCATATATTTGGATTATAGAATATTCTTAATACAAATTACATGAGGTACAAAAATTTAGATTAAAAAAAATATTTTAAATACGATTATAGTGTCATAAATATAATACAAATAATTAAACAAATCGATGAGTCTAATATTTAGCGATCACAAAAGGCATTCAAATTGCGTGACATTGATATTTGGGTTTAGTAATATGAGTCGTCCCATAATGCGAGTCTAACAGAAGATGATTGATAATATTAATGATTAAAATTTTATTTTTAAAATTTGATGAGGAACAAATTCAAAAAATATTAAAAAAAATCTGTTTTAGGTGATCTTAAATAAAACATGAGAAAAGCATAGGAAAGAAAAGACCAACTTAGAGGGAGTGGGGCAACGTGGAATTGGAAGCCCAAAAGTAATGGGGTGAGTAAAAGATACCCTAAACCCTAAAAAATAAGTCCGAGACTAAAAAGCCGCCCACCTAACCTAATATCTTCCAACAGCCAGGTGGTGAACCTGGAGCCCAATCCGACCGTCCCACAGCACAACATAGGCCTACGGCCCTGTACATGGGTTATTGTAGGCTATGTATATGGGTTTGTACTTCTGTTTTAAATACCATTTTGTACTTCTGTAGATGTGGGATATTGCTCTACCCCTTTGCTCTTCTCCGCCTGATTCAAAGAATGTAATAGATGTCTTTTAAAAATCATACCTTTGTTTGCTCTTTGATTTGTCCTTGCTGATAGGGATGGCAACGGGCCGGGTATTGGTCCCCGTCTCCGTTCCCGTTTAAAAAATCAGTACCCGTCCCCGTTTAAAAAACCGCGGGGATTTAAACGGGGATCCCCGTCGGGTAATCAGGGAAAACCGCGGGGAAACGGGTATCCCCGTTTAGCATAAACGGTTATTTAAACGGGTATTGGGTCGGGTATTGGGTCGGTTATTGGGCCGAGAATCGGGCCAGGTATATATATATATATTTAAATTAAATATATAAATATATATATTTTTTATTTAAATTAAATTTATTAATATTATATATATATATATATATATATAATTATTTTTAATATTTATCGGGTCGGATATCGGGGCGGGTAATCGGGTAATCGGGGCGGGGATTACCAAACTCGTCCCCGTCCCCGTCCCCGTTTAAAATAAATAGGTTTTCCCCGTCCCCGTCCCCATCGCCGTTTATCATCCCCGAACCCGATCCGTTTAATTCGGTTTTCGATTTTCCCCGTCGGGTTCGAGTTTTTTTGCCATCCCTACTTGCTGAACATAAAAAAGCACTTCATTTCCTCTAACTTGCCAAAACAAAAACTCTTCAGGTTATACACCCGAAATTGTTGCTTCAAAAGGAGGAGAATAGAGTCGGATAAGGAACAAGGGAAAGAAAAATACCCAGAAAAGTCCAGGTTCCAAACAATGAAAAAATGAAGAAAAGAAGAACAGGTGGTTTGAAACAAAAGCGAAAGCCAGCTAAAAAGTAAAACCCAGACAACATTGCATGCATTCAACGATTGAAATCAAGACAATATGGCCACAATATTTTATACGAATGTGTAATTTATTTTTTATCTTTCTTTTTATTATAAGTGGAAGAAAACGTAAGACTAAGTTACATAGAAATTTTTAGGGAAAGAGACTCTTCTAAGATCAGCATCCAAAAATGATAGAACTCCATTCGATAGAGACTCAAAAACAGCTAGCTCCTCGTCCAGAGAATAAGCCCATTTTTGATAATATATCAGCACAGAAAAAATGATTACACCTTGGGCACAAGAGAAAAATAAAATGTTTGTTTATTTAAATTTATCGTGAAGATGTTTACACTCATAAAAAAGTATATTTTCGATATTTATAAATATTCGAATATTTTTTATTCTTTTTAAGTGGATTGGTAATTTTTAATTAATTAATTTTGTTTGTTTAATTTTTTTTATAATATCATGTTCATTCACGCATGCTCTTAAAATATATTAATGAATACTTTTTTAATATAGAAGAGTGGAATTTTTATTTTTAAATGGAAAAAGAACTGGTTGCTTTAACTCATAAGATGCATTTTCTTCTGGGTGGGAAATGGCTAAATATTCTGAATTTCATTATTGAATTCAAGAATGAAAAAATTGGAATTTGTGCGGTTATTTATAAAAAGGATCCTTAAACCCTAAACCATAAATATTGAACCCCAAATCTCAAACCCCATACCCTAGCTCTTGAATCCAAACCAGAACCATAGATCTTAAACCCTAACCTTAAACACTAGATTTAATATTTAATTATTATTTTTAATTTATTAAAGTATTATTTATGATTTATTAATATTTAAAAATTTATTTATTTTATTATTTTTTAAAAAACATTTAAGTTAAATAAAATTTAATGGTTTAACATTTTTTATAGTTTATTATGGTTTTATTTATAAATTATTATGTTTTAATAATTTAATAATTTATTATATTTTACAATTGTTTACCCAAACCCCCAACCCAAGTACCGAGCCTACTAACCTTCAGGCCAATACATTTAAAATTATATTTATAATATCTCCCATACAAGTTAAAACCATAGCCCAATTAACCATAAGCCCTAAACCCCCGAAATTCAACCACCTAATATAATTTAATTTACAATAAAACCCATACAAGTTAAAACCCAAACCTAATTAACCATCAACCGTATACATATCAATAAAACCCATATAACCATTACAATTAAAAAGCTCAAACCAACAGAAACCCACGAGGTAGATCCATCCATCACCCTCCAGAGCCTTCCAATTCTTTCCACTTTGCTTACTTTTGGTGCTTTGGGAAGGTAAGAACATTTATGGTGGGCTCCTTGCATTAATGGTGTTATAAGTTTCTAGAAATGTCATGTTGGTAATCTTGGTTAACAAACACAAATTAATTGGAGGCATTGATAAATATAGGATCCAAGGGCAGAAAAAGTTCCACTTCAGCAACCGAGAATACCCAACGTCACTAACCTGTATTCTGCGCGTGACTGTCGCTTAATCATTGGTATCGGCGCATGACTGCACAGTGCCACCTTCCTTTCGGTCGTCGTTCAAACATGAAAAATTCACCAAAAATAGAGAAAATTAGAATGATGCTAAGGAATGTTCTAGCAAGTGAAGCCATAACCGTTTCTCAACAAATTTCAAGCGGGAAAGTTAGTTTTAGCACCAAACAAAGCCATTTGAATTTGTGTATAACCAATAGCTAATAATTAGAATAATGACAGATTAGCAAAGTATTTATTACACTCAAGAAAAGGAGAAAAAAAGTGAAAAGTAAGGTGTCTTTATTAGATAAATTACACGGACGATCATTAAACTATAGTTAAAAATTATTTTGATTATCGATGTTTTAATTTGATCAAAGAGTCCATCTAACTTTTTAAATGGTTCAATCAAGCTATTCTCTGTTAATTTTTAACAATGATGGTGAGGAGTCCATTAATAAAAATGACATAATTACATATTTGTTCCTCAATACTTAAGCACTCTATAAATTTGATCCTAAATTTAATTTAATTTAAAAATAAATAATCCTCCAATTTTAGTGTTCTTAAAGAATATGTATAGTTTAAATTTAAAAATTGCTATGTCAACAACTTATTTTATGTTTTCTAGTTAGATTTAGATGCCATAATAATATAACACCTCCATATTAGAAGATTAATTATTTTAAATTAAATTTAGGATCAAATTTATAAAATGCATAAAATATTGAGAACCAAATTTGTAATTATAGCATTTTTATTTATGGACATGTCACCATCTCTGTTAAAAATTAATGAAGAGTGGCTTGATTGAATCATTTAAAAAGTTAGGTAGACTTTTTTTTATCAAATTTAAAGATCGGTGGTCAAAAATCATTTAGTGATCACCTATGTAGTTTACCCTTTTTTATTTCCAGCTATCTCCCAAAAAAAATCCATAGAGAAGAAGTCCAACGCTTAAACTTATACGACTATTATGGCTGCTGCATAATCAAAAATGATAAAGACGGTTTATATCAGAAACAAGCTACTCAAAATGAAAACTTTCTTCAATATATTATTGTTACCTTTGCTAATATTTCTCTTCAAACTTTTCAGAATGATGTCTCAACGCAAATGAAGTCTTTAGAGAATTCTAAATCAAAATAAATTATGTTCAAAATTATGCTTCTCTTTTATCATAGACAATTTACTATTTAATACTGAAACAAATGCTAAAAAATATGGGAAGTACCAAAGGAAGCAACACATCAACAAAAACGAATCATAATGAATTTGAGTGAGCAAACTAACCTCAGCCAGAAACCTGTTTCCCTCCCGGTTGCAGTTATTCTTGACTCATTTAGATTTTGAATAGGAAACTTTCCAAGAAACATCTCATAAAGAGAATACTGAGTAACATGTAGCTCCATGATAATCCAGTTATATTGCTCTCATATTTCAGAGTTGTTATGCACAAAGCTCCAAGAGTACTTTGCTGACTAGTTAGAGAAGACCACAAAATGGATAGTGTTTGTGAATGAAACAAAGATAGCATGTATTAGGGTAGTGGCTAGAGACTACAACGGTATGGTGATTGGGGATCATCCGTCTCCAGTCGACGAAATTAGTTTAAGTAAGAGCTTTCTTGGAAAGTATTATCCTAACAGATAAATATGGATTGAAGGTAATGTTGCGTCCATTATGCATACAGTCACTAACTTGGTGTTTGATTTGTCGATTACTACGCTTCATTTGATCCAAGCTTATAGATTATTGAAGTCTCACCCGAGTTTGTGTCTCCTTTTTAGGAGGGAGGTTAATGTTGTTGCTCACAGTTTAAACTCATTCTTGTATGATTTAATTATAGTACTCCTAAAAATTATTTTACCTAAAAACATGATTAAGGTCTTTAATAATCGATTAAGTTATAAATAAATGGGCAAAAATGTGGGGCTTGTTTTAGATTGAAAGTCAAATTATAAAGGATTAATTTCAAATTATGTCTAAAAAAACGTTTTACTGCCTAAAATTTTTCTTCAAAAATAGGTGTGTAATGTTTTCAACGTTATATTTTTAGGTGCCTATACTTTAACCGCTGTTAAAAATCTCCGGTAAGTGACACATGTCACGTTCTATTAATTTTGAGAATTTATTTTAAAAATTAAAATATTTTTTATTAAAAAACCCCAAACAACATCTCGTGCCTCCCCTTTCCCCCTTCATTCCCCATCCCCTCCTTCATTCCCCATCCCCTCTTCCCCTTTCGTCGGTCAGTCAGTCGTGACCTTGATCGTTGCCGTCATTAGTACCGACGTTCCCCCTCGATCAAACTCCTATTGGCCTTTCGTCGTAATCTGAATATGAGATGTAATTAATATAATTGAGTAACATAATTGTTTGGATGACTGAAATAACTAGATCTTATAGGTTTATTTTATAAAATTTGTAAGGGTAATTTGGAAACTAAGGGTGAGATTTGTGAATAAAATAAAGTGCCTAAGTTTTCGCACTCTCATGGCTTAGACCAATCAACTCATTTATTTTGTATTAAAAAGGTTTAGGGAGAGATCACATTGGTTTATTCAATAAAAAATTATTTAAATCATGGGCTTATTGACAAGTGGTCCATTATATCTTCAATCAAAAAATGATTTTGATCTTTTACCTTATAGATCTATTTGATTTTAATCATTTGATCGTTAACCATGTTTACTCTGTGCAATTACGTTTGGTTCATCGTGAACAGCTCAGGGCAACATTTTGATCTGTCCTGCAATGACTTGGAACACATGCTAATCAAATCCTATTCGTCTTATTTCACGGTGCATCTGATAGTCATCGACATTACATACTTTTAGTGCATTATGTTAAAGAAAATGGATTTATAGCTCTACAAAATATTTGCTGTAGACACCATTGAGCTTTCTTCATGGTAAGGTATCTCTGTGTTTTGAATTAGCAGGAAGAACAAAGTTTATTGACTATTGTATTTCAGATCGTCATAATATCAAATATATACAATCGATTTACAACATAAAACTAATACGAGTTCATCATCTCCATCCAGTATCCAAGTTTTAAAAGTAAATGAATTTTCACAAGTTCGGATAGCACAGGAATTACTTGATATAAAGCACTACTCGGATAACATGTATGCACACAGCAATACATTGAAAGAGTACAACAATACCACTTGCCTAAAATTTTGATTGAAATGGTATTGACATTTAGCTATAGTATATATTTGAAACATTGAAATTAGCTACGAAATATTCCCTTGAACCTTCTTTATGTAAAATTCGTCAAGATCTTAACATAATGTAAAACTCACAACCTAGAAAGACTTTATGATATGAGTAAGGGTATTATCAAATTTTGTCCATTTCATTGTTAAAGTTGTGAATTGTAGGGATGCATTCCCAGAGGAAGCATAAAAATAACTATTAATGCTGACTAATTCATTAGTAACACGTGTATGAAATTTGTAACAAAAGAAGATTGGAGTATGTGCTTACCATAAATTACAATTGCATGCCACAGGACAGTCATATGACGGATAGACTTGAGTAACCATTTCAAAACAGGGTGTAATGTACATGTTAACTGGAATCTTCATCTGTCCCTCAAATTAGGAGTCACTTTTCTTAGAATCTTTGCTTCTCTGGCTATTTGAATATCTGAATGCCAAAAATTCTGATGTATAACTTTGCGAAGAAAGCGAGGAGTAAAGCCACAATTATTATAAGCAAAATGGTGAGCCAATAGGTGGGTGACTTTGCCACATGGTAGATTGTCCTGCCAAATGTAACAAATATAAGAAAAACATAAAATCAACACACGAAAATTTTGGAACTAAAGATCAGGAAATTATATTATGAGGTGAAACTAACCAGTAATTTGGTAAGATAGGTATAGAATCCAATACCACCATACAAGCACAAGTGATAATTATTGATCCCCACACTGCAGCATGAGTAATGAATACCCAACGTTGAATGTCCATCACCAAATGTATATTAACAAGAATAACAACTGCTATAGTCCACAAACAGCCCATGCTCCATATATCAATTGAGCTCTCCTTATCTGTGAAAAAAGGTATATAGAATAGAACAAGGCTATGCCATAGTGTGTCAGTCATTGTGATCCAATTCACTGAGAAAGTACCAAGTCAACTGAGTGAAGAAATTATAAGTTTTCCCCAAATCTTCCTTCTCCACGAACAAAACGTGAATAAGAAATATCCTTACAGTTGAGGCTGAAGGAAACAACAAGTTTGAAGATGGACGAAGATCAAGGTAACGACGGGTTTCTAGACATGGGAAAAGCTGATAAATCGGTATGGTTAATGAAGTGCCCCATCGTGGTGGCCAAGTCATGGGAGAACCAAGCTTCTTCTTCTGATTCTCAGCCTGTCGCCAAGGTCGTCTTCTCTCTCGACCCTCTCAAACCCAACGAGCCTCAGGTAACACTAAATAGTTGACAACAATTACTTCAATTTAGCAAATGGTTTAGGGTTTTGATGTATGTCGGTTTCTTTAATTTCCATGAATTGATCCTGTATTATAGTTTTTTCGAGTTAAAAATTGTAGTGAAAGGTTTCTTTTTTATTCGCCGTGTAATCTAACAAGGCAAACATTTGATGACATGCTTGTTATGAGTTAAACATTGTAGTGATTATTCTGTCATTGTCTCGCTTATTAGGAGTTTATGAACTGATATTTACAGTTTACTATGGAGATGGTTGGATTGGAGACCGAAAGAATACTGAAAAGCTACACTTTGAACATGTTCAAAGACTTTGTTCCTATGTGTGTCTTCTCTGAAACAAGTCAAGGTCATAGTTTTGGTTCTTTACTTCCATTGCTTCTCAGCTGTTCCAGTTTGTGTTTTTATCTATTGTTTCTCTCTTCCCCCCCGGAAACATTGCTGCTCACTGCTAAACCTCGATTTTCAAGTCTCGCTCCTTCTTCACTCGGCCTCTCTATTTTGCAGCGACGCCTCGAGGTCGTCGATCGGAAGAGTTTCTTTGTCTAGTCGTCATCGGAACTTTTCCACCATGGCTGGCGCTGAAGACTTTGTTAAAGGAAATGTTCGCCCAAACGGCGTTATATTTCCACCGAGTGATTATGAGATAGGGTGAAAGAGGGTACGCGAAAGGAATAAAACCAAAGCACATCCAGTTTTGTTATTCATTTTTTCCCTTTCCGTTTACAATGCTTCTGTTTCCTGATTTTGTTTCTTTGGTTGGTTGGTTGATTGCTACTGGGACAGGGATTGTGAGGATTCAGATTCTATTCTGATATATCAGAATATATCATTCTATTCTGATATATCAGTTTTTCTTGGCAGGAAACGTCTGGGTTTTTCTTTTGTTTGCAAGATGGAGCATTAATGTGCTGAAAATGTGATGTTCCTATACATACAGCAAATCCTTATGTCTCTGCCTCTCTGGTCATCAAAGATTTCTGCTAACTGAAGTAAAGTTGGTTTTGAAACAACTGACCCTGGTGCATCGTCTTCTGATGTCAAATCACCTTCTACTGAAAATACTTCAGAAACTAAAACTAATTCTATATCTAGAAGGGGGGTCTCCTATGGCATTTACTGGTGGATATAATGTCAATGAGGTCCTATCATCAAATATTGGATACGGGAACAGTGAGCTGACAAAAGTAACATACGCAAGGGGTTCTACACCTGGAAGCATACAGACATGGCAAATGGATGATTTATTTGGGCCGACTGACTTCAATCGAAACTATGGTTACATGGAAGATGTGTCATCTAAGGTTCTCCTATAGTTGTTTTGTACCATGTTTTATATGGGTCTAATGTAGAGCAGACGCCTCCCATTTTGTTATTGTTTCGAATAATATTTGTGTGTGTGCAAAATGAGTTCTTTATTAGGTTATATTATACTAATGTTGTAGCTCAGCTAGTAAATTAAACTATACAATGTTTGAGTTCTGTATGGGTTATTTTTGCTGGATTCTTCCAGGCTGATAGTGGCAAGAATGGAGATTCTCACAGTTCATCAATCTTGAGATCTGCTGATGACGAGTTAGATGATAATGAGCGCTTGGGTCAGATGCCAGACTCCTCATGGGCTGTACCACAAATGCCTTCGCCTCGTACCAATGTTTGAAAAATATCATTTGTTCTCTTTTTTTTATAGTATTTTAAATATCGTCGTTTTAATTATAGGTTAAAATAACATAGGTTGAATGAAAATTATTTATAGACTAATGAAAATTATTTATAAACTAACTGTCATAAATGTTGTTAAAGTGTGTATTTAATTAATGGTGTGATATATCTCACGTCATCAATTTGATTGACACATATCATTACTTTATCATTCTTTACTTTATGTAACGTGACACATATCATGTTATCATTCTTTACGGTGTTACACTCAACATGTCACTAATTAAATACATAAAAAAATGTCGCATGAGCAACATGCGATGATCGTTAATCAACAAACAGATTTCATCCAATAAGAATTATTTTAATCAAATATTAAAACATTAAAATCTAAAATATTAAAAAAATAAGGAAAAAAAACAAAATACTCATTCATACAAAACACTAAGTTAACAGTTATCGTTATTCCTTACTTCAGGGATCTCTCTTTCAATTCTCTGACTGGTGATCTTCCTCAGAGTTTTAAGATTCTTAGTAGTAGCACTATTGATGTCCTTGCCAATCTTCCCCTTGACACTCTGTGGGTAACCCATATTTCAGTCTTTTGTTTCCTTATGTTGTAAATAACCTTGTAATATTGACCTTTGTGATAATCGTTTCCCCGACTCACAGATATGTCTCCAATAACCGTTTTACTGGCTGGATTCCCGATCAATTGAAAAGCATCAATTTGCTGTAAGCATTTGACTTCATTATCAAGTGCTGTGACGTCAGTTTTGTATAAATGTTCTTTGCAATTTAAATCTGAATAATATTCATTGCAGGAAGGATGGTAATTCATGGAGTTTGGGGCCTACGCCTCCACCTTCACCTGGTGTCCCTCCTGCCACTAGAAGTAACAGAAATCACAAATCTGTTGTCGATAGTTCACAATCTGATGGTGCTTCTAGTGTTTAAAGTGGTGGGGTAGCAAGTTGGGGATTGGAGGTGGAGGCATAGCAGGAATAGTAATATCCATCCTTATTGTCGGGGCTATTGTAGCATTTTTTCTGGTGAAGAGAAGATCCAGGAGGCCATCCTCGGATATTGAAAAGCATGATAATCAATCGTTTGCTCCTCTTCCTTCTAATGAAGTACAAGGTAACTCATCGTAGTAAATATGCAACTCGGCATGGTGGCCAGTTGAATGTGACTATAAATCTATCTTTACTTTTTGCTCAGTTGCGTGTAATGCTGCTGCATTAATTTTATAATGAAGAGATCTTGTCTTTCATTGCAGCTTCAACAGCAATAAACTTACACTCGTAGTTATTAAATATATTAAGAATATTTAGGAATTTCAAATAGAACTTATTTCCTTGTTGTAAGTTTGGACTCCTCATGAAGCACGAATTTATTGAGTGTATATATACTTAAGGTAGTAGAAATGCAAAGAACTTGTATTGTAAACAATTCAGTAGGTTGGAAGAAAATATGCTTCAGTGAAGATTCCTTCTTGACTCCATGATTTGATAAGCTTTTGAATTTTCAGCATTTTGTTTGCTTTTCTCATATCTATTTTAATTACTTTTTCAATAATCTAAAACCTTTTTCCCCGCGAAAACTTGTTTTGTTCACCTGATAAAACTATTTGTTCTTTCTCATTCTGTATTGCAGAAATGAAATCCATAGTCTTCCTCTTCAGTTAACACCAAGACCTTTGATACATCTCCTTCGATAAACCTTCGATCCCCACCTGTTGACCGTCACAAATCATTTGATGAAGAAAACTTTTCTAAAAACCCCATTGTTGTTAAGAAAGCTGTCCCAGCTCCTGAAAATGTTACATCATATTCAATAGCAGACCTCCAGATGGCTACAGGCAGTTTCAGAAAATCTCCTCGGTGAAGGATCTTCTGGATGTGTTTATCAAGCTCAATTTGATGATGGAAAGGTGTGAGTCTTCCTTCTGCAAAATCTATAGCCATGTCAGCATAAATGTAGCCAAGTCTGTGCATTAATATTATAAAGCAACTTTTGTTTTACTACATGCCCTATCTTGAGAAATACTCTTTTCATCAGCATATTTAATCTCGTATTTGCCTCTGTTTTCTAGCTACAAATTTTTAAGTGTGGTACATGAGTTTTTTCAGTTATCACCATTAATGCTGCATACGGATCCAATGTCATTGATCTCCGCATTTTTTTCCCAATATTGCCATTTATGTGCCTTGCGTTCATACTGCCATAGGTACTTGTTGTAAAGAAAATAGATTCGTCAGCTCTTCCCATTGAAATGTCTGTCAATTTTTTAGAGATAGTTTCGAACATATCCGAGTTGCATCAAACAAATGTAACAGAGCTGGTTGCTATTGTTCAGAGCATGAACAGAAATGTAACATATCCTATTTCTTTCACGATGCACTGTCAGCTCAATTATACAGTAGTACCATTTTCAGTGTTGTTAGAGGACTCTACTAGAGCAGAGATGAAGTATAATAATGAGGCAACTCATGTTAATTATACAGACACAAATATACATGTCAAGGTGGAATCAATGTATTCATTATTCTTTCAAGAATTTGGTTGCAAAAAGATGCAGTTGCCAAATAACCTGTTATGAATTGGGATGCAATATCAGAAATGGCCATATACAATGGAGATACTTTCCCGGATGTTCCGAGCCTAAACTATTATTGTCTTGCTCTCGCTTTCATTTCTTTTGTATTATTTTCTTTTAAAAGTTATAACTACAATGCAATTGAGAATTCTGTCAAATAGCTGCACTCGAGACGATTTTGTTGGTCGAATGTGTTACTATGGAGATACAAGAAAGGATTTTGTATAGCTTTTCTGTCTTGTAATGATTTCAGAACAGCTTGCAGTTTGTTCTTTCAAATTGACACTGATGAATTCCAACAAGATGGATAGGGACCACAAAAGAATTCCATAAAATTTACACGACAAGGACAAGCTTTTCTTGCAGCTTAAAGCATTTCTTTATATCCATAAACAAAAACAATACTCTCTTTGCTTTTGCATCATATTCAAGCCAAATACTTCTCTAGTTTCTCTTCCTCTTCTTGGCTTCCGATATAAAGTGATACACGTTGATGTATATGTTAAAACACAAAAGCTGAAAACTAGTTACTAATATTGCCAGCGAAATGGAAATCGCAAAACTTGTAGGTGGTTTAAGGTTTTTTTCACCTCAACAGGGTGGATATCAAGGATTCTTTGATGTCCATAAGATCCTTTCTCACCAGCTTGTTCCACAATAAAGCTCATCGGTGCACACTCATACACTGCTTTTGGTTGTGAATAATAAATATAGTGAAAAGATGAGTTACAAAAATTTAAAAATGTCATGAGACCAACGGTAACATTTGGGTGCTTTTGGCATGTTGCTTTAGGGATAATTTCGGAATACAGGATAAAGTTAACAGAAACTTTTTCTATATATATATATAATCAAAAGCTGTGAAAAAAATGGGGTTAAAAAATAAAACTCAAACTCTCTCTGCAGTAAGTAAAGTAGGGAGTGGAAAAGCCTTTGGTGGGCAGCAAAGTTCCTATTTTTCCCTTCTTTTTTTGTTGACATTCAATCTAAAGTTTTGATCTTGAGTGGATTTTCTGCTGTTTTTACTCTGGTTTGAGCTTAAAGATCGATTCTTTTATTCATTTTGTGAATGCTCATTTGAACATTTAACCTAAAGTTCTGGTTTTGAGTGAAATTTTCAGCTGTTTTTAGTCTGGTTTGAGCTTAAAATTTGGTTTTTTGATCATTTGTTGAACACCCTACTAGAGTTTCAGAGGCAAAAAGGCCAAAAAGTACGAATTTTTAAGCTATGGAAGAACCAAAACCTGAAGAAATAAGCAACCCACCAATGGACCAACTTCAAGGCCTAGAGTACTGCATTGACTCAAATCCTTCTTGGGGTGAGCATTTTTCTTCTTTTTCCCCCCTAAACTTTTCCAGCAGTTGTTTTTTGTTTGTTCTGTTTTTGTAACCCTCTCTTATTACTCTCTTTTATTATTTGTTACTGAAATTTTTTCATTTCGGCATTGTGATGGTTTAGGATGATAAAGTAAGAGTGGTTCAGACACTGCTATTTGTTGAAGGGATTAATACACTTTTACAAACACTGTTCGGAACTCGACTACCTACCGTTGTAGGCGGTTCTTATACCTTCATTCTTTGCTGAGTATTGAGGATAACCATATGGTTAGTACAATTCTATGATCATTTCCCACAAATCTTTTACTTTGTTCGTAAAGTTCAATATTTTACGTCTATGCAGAGATTACTATATACTATGAGAGCTGTCCAAGGTGCACTAATAGTAGCATCAAGCATACAAATTATCTTGGGATACAGTCAAATGTGGGCTATTTGCACCAGGTGCAGCTTTGATCTTACATGGAGTTTCTGTATCAAAATTATGGAGAACATAATTTGAGAAACTATTAACTGATCTAGATTTCGTTTACGCCGGTTTTGGGAAGAACAAAGACTAACCGATGATAGAATGGCTGATGTGCACATAGGTGATGTTCATCAGTTTCTTGTGTTGATGAAAAATAGATACATTTCGAGATAAGATTAATTTCGAACAACATTTTTCTTGTTATTTGTTGCGTTATTATCTCCGACAACCCAGTATTTTTTGACTGCAAATAGTACCTTTTCAGATACAAGAGGACCATCTTCATGATCCACCATTCTCGTCTTCCATCTCATTCCTCCCACAATTTTCTTTACCTTGATTAACACGTTAACTTGATCACGAATTATGACAGACCCTTCAGGCCGTAAAATTCGATCCATCTCCAGAAGAATGTCTTCAGCTTTACATCTGCAAAATAAATCAGAGGTGAATAAGGTCCTATAGTTGTTTCTGCTGTCATCAAACATGGGACACAATATGCAAAGACGAATTCCATCTGCTGACAAACTTTGCTTCCAAGGTAAGTCATTTTAACATTAACTTGATTTACAGTTCAATCTGTTTAGTTCTTTAATCGACACTGTAAAGTATAAACACATTGAAGTCTAATATAGAGCAAAGACTTACTTATTCAAATACAGACTGAAGATACCGTTCGCATGAATGAGGTCGTATGTCCTAGGATACGTAGAGAAAGCTTCACACCTGGCATAAGGAGAGTGTAAACTAATGATTAAACTCCTTTTTCGATCCTGAAATCTTCCATAAAGGCACATATCAGGAAGGATGGGAGCCATTACAAAATACTGGAAAAATGAGGAAAAATAAAATACACACATGAGAGCAATGGCACAAAGTTACCAGTCGTGATAAATGCCGATCAAGCCACGTTCATAAATAATCCCCAGTGTGTATTTCTCAGCTATTGTAGGCATAACATTCATGACCCACAATTTGGGGGATTCAAGAGCAGCAGCAAAACTTCCTAGACCAGCATTCATGTCCATGATGTTGCGAAACCTTCCTGAGTCGATGAGATTGTTGATACTCTTATATGCTTTCACATGCTTCTCCCATATTCGAATATCCTTTTGATACATATCAACAGATACTCCAGCAACAGATCCAGAAGATATTCTGAAAGGGATGGCATTAAGCCTATCCGGATATGGCTTCCATTCCCCACCAGCAACTCCATCTTTCTCGGTTTGCTCAGGATAAGGAGTTGCGCATGCTTCCATTTTCTTGTACCTATATGTTCCGGGAGAACAATACAAGGATTCTTCAAAAACATGCAATGCATTGAAAAATCCGTTTGAAGGTGAATCGAATAAATGGAATGAATACTATACCAAACATCATCTGCATAGCTTGATTCACACAGAGTCGGTTTATCTTGCTGGCGGCATGAATCGTAATTTTTTCTTTTCCTCCAAACAGCAATGTCGCCTATCTCATGCTCCTTTTCCCAGCAAAGGAGTTTTGCAATCTCTTCGATTTTCCTTAGTTCCTCTTCAAGTTCTTCCTTATGGAGCTTCCATGCTTGGTAATGCATTCTCCAGTTGATGGGAGGACCAGAAAGAACCCAATAACCACCAGGTCTAAGAACTCGATCGACTTCCATCATGTACATTCCATCTGCAGAAACATGTCCATTAACAATGTTATATAAATAGTATTTATCATCAGTCAATATCTCTTTATAGTTTTCATCCTCACCATTTGCACCCCACGGAATCAAACAACGAGAACAGTGAGCCATGTCAAACGCTCTTGAAGGAAATGGCATCTTTATTGTTCCGAGCACTCCGATAAAAGCCGGCACACCTCTTTCCAGAGCAAATTGAATTTGTGCTTCATGAGAATCTCTTGGAGCAAATGACATTGTTATAACATTCCTTTTTAATAGATACGCGCCGAGGCTAGCAACCTAAACACCGTACAAGGAAAATAAATCAACAGGTACCAAATAACATAGAATCCCTTGAAACTACAGTTAGCCAATGCCATTACAACAGTGCCTATTACTCGAATTAACTTACCCCACAACCGGTATCTAGTGCCGTTCTGACCATGCCATTGTCCATCGGAATCACAGATGCAAGCTGATTGATATACGTATCGGCCCCCTGTGGAAACTGAGTGCCTCCACCAGGGAACCTAAACACATTCCCCTCATACTGAATCCAGTTCTGTACAGCTTTCTCAACTGTCAAGCTCTTATAAGGGGCGTTCGCAAAGGGAACATAATCCCTACTCTTTGGCCATGGAAATGGAGTTGCATAACCTTTGGGTGCCGGAATAAGACACTGCAGATTCTCTTCTTCCGTTGGGCAATGTCGTTCCCTGTACATCATATTGTCCCGAGGGAATGCCATCGCCCTCATTTGATCATGACAGGGTGTGTAATCGATGTACTTCTCTTCACATGTTGGGAACTCCTTGGTTTTTCTTTCTGAACCATCAGCCATCACAACATCATCACCATGATGAGTCTCATAGTTAAGGTTTAGAAGGACACCACAATCGGTTTGTTTGGTGATAGCTGAGGCTATTTTGTCACCCTTGCCGAAACCGCTACGCTGCCACGCACCCAGTATGTAGAAGAAACAACATAAGCCAATCGCTAGAAAAATAGACACCGAGCTCCTCTTTTTCAGCTCCCCTGTGTTCCCTTTAATTGCCATAATTCACCTCCAAACTGTTACCTACGATGTAAAACAGAAAGAAAAACAAAAACCTTCAATTAATTCCTGCATAAACTATATCTAAATATGAAAAGAATACAATTAGGCTCGTATTGTTAAAGATAAAAAGGGAATGAACAAACAAAGACAACCAGCTTGATCAAAATCAAAGAACAAAGTAATGAATCAAACAAGAACACATACTCAAAAAGCTTAAATTTGTTTAAAACCGGTCATTAGTCCACAAGCAAAAGTGATCATAGAGATATTACATATAGTATTATTTCAAAAAAAAAAAAATCAAAGCATTTAAAAGGTTTAGACAAATACAATGAAAATGCAAAACTTTACTGAGATTCAAAGGTTGAAGCTTTCTCAATGAATCAAAGTTCACAATCATTATTGTCCAACAATGCATTTATAAGAAACGAATCCACTTTTCTTTGCCAATATGTAAAAGAAAAAAAAAACAAGAAGAAAAATCCAAAGTTCTTACAGGTCGACAATGTAAGGATGCAGTTGTGATTAAATCATGATTATTGGGTTTTCTGTTTTGGATTTTGAATTTGATGCAGTATGGAGGAGACTCCAAAGAAGGGAAACAAGGAAGGGTGGTTTTAAAAAAAATATTTTGTTTGTAGTTTGAGTTTTTGTGGGTAAGTTGGTTGATAATGTCGCTCTCTGTTTTTAGGAGGAAACTATGAACAAATTCTGTTCTATTTCCAATCAGATAGGCCACTTATTTCGGTTTGAAAATCGGAAATTAATAGGTTTAATATGTCAGCAAGTGGAAGGAGTTTGGGAATATAATCATTTCATCAAAAAATTAGAAATTATTTTTTAAATCATATCTAAATTTTAGTTTAAGTTTAAATTTAATACACGATGTTAAAAAATTAACAGAGCTGCTGTCATGATATTTTTTATTTTCAATGATGATGAAGTATTATTTTATAGTTAAACGTCAACATCACTTTTAAGTTTTTTTTATAGAATATCAAAATGAAACTTAAACTAAATGTTTGTTATGACAATAAAGTTTAGTTACCAAAATGAAATAAAGTAATAATTTAAGTACTAAACATATAGTTTACCCTAAAGTTTAATGAAAACCATAACTTAATTATATTTCTATTAAAATTAAAAATTAAATTTTAATAAAAAAATTAACCATGAATATGACAATAGAATATTTAATATTTTTTAATAAAAACAAGTTAATTAGTAATATACATCAATGTATCAAATTCATGGTATGCTTCGATGTACGAAGTCTTCAGGTTTCGCACGGTTGAAAATTTGAAAAGCAAAAAAGCATTAGAGATGAGTTTTAAAAAAGAATGAGGTTTTACTTACTGATGTTGGCACAAACAAATGAACAGAATCAACTTCAAAGAAGGATCAAATTTATTATGAGGTTTTAGAGGATGGTGGAGAATGATTAAATGCCTCTGAAAAAAAATTAATCAATTGAAATCCAAAGATTCCAAGGCTGAGAAAGCTATAAAGAAGAAGTCTCTGGGTAGAAATAACAAATCGCACATCCGGGGGGAAATGTAAAATGACAATGGGTTATAAGCAAAAATTTGAATACGGCCATAGCTAGGCCGCAGGCTCAATCCGCATTGTGGCTGTCCTTGTGGGGCTTGGGCTGCCTGGCTCACCCTGCGCAAGCTGGAAGAGACTTGGGGTGGTGGGCGTGTTTTTTGGTTACGGGCTTGTTTTTAGGGTTTAGGGTTCGACTAATAATTTTCAAATAAATTTTAGTTCGATTAACGGTTAAATAAAAAATAATTTATTTAAACAAATAATTTGTTTAATTTTTTTATCATTAATAAACTTTTACCAGTCAAATACAAATTTTTGTAAGTTAGAACTATTTGGGAGCTTTGGCCCAACAGTTTGAGCGCCTAGTTACTCTCTCCCTTAATGCAGGTTCGGTTCTCCCTGGGCGCAAATTTGTGTTCTTCTATTTTCCATTTCAATTGGTGGTGACACGTATCACCGCCTGATTGGTTAAAAAATCAGTTAATTAAATAATTTAAAATTCATAAATAAAACCTTTCAATCATGTATTGACACATGTCATGTTCTAATTGGATAGTTAAATTTATTTAATTGAATTAAAATAGTGACTAAATTGATAGAATATGTAAATATTAAGGACCAAATATATAATTATGTCAATTTTATTAACGGACACGTCACCAAGTCTGTTAAAATTAACGGTGTGGTGGTCTGATTGAATCAATTAAAAAGTTTGGTGGTCGAATTGAGACAAAAAATAATTCGGTGGAAAGATTGATTAATGACCATAGTTTGATGGTCTCTCATGTAGATTACCCAAAAAAATTTATATAGATGTATTATTGTAATTATTCCTAAATATATAAAGTAAAATTATATATTTTTTCGGGTGGAGTTGAGTCGGATATTTTTCACCATAAATCCGAACCCGACCCGACCTGAACCCGATTTTAAAAAAAAAATCTGACCCGATCGGATCGAGTCGAGTCGGAACCGTCGGGTTCAGGTTTAGTGCCCATCCCTACTTGCTTCTAGGGTTAAAGTTTTTTCTCTCTCTAAATTTTCGCTTACTCCTTTCTTTTCCATTTTTGATTGGTAGATGGTGACATCAATCTTGATGTTAATTGTCGTCGTCAATATTTTTTTCTTATCTTGAATTTTTACTTTTTTTGTTTCTAATAATACTTCTTTTATGACATGATTTTATGTTTTTGTGACATAATTTTCTCTCAATCTTTACCTTTGGCATGTTTTTCAGTTCTTTTCGATCGTCTTTGTCATTTTTTTAAAGGTTGGATTTGATGTCATTGCAACTAGTTAATAGGATGTTCATTTGTTACCCATTGATATTTCTTGTTTTGAATTCTCGAATTGGATTTAGATACACAACTTATATTCGTAGATAATTTTCTCAAGATGCTTAATCTTTTGTTTTGATTCGTTTTTTGTAGTAATCATATTTGTTCGTATTTACCTATTGTTTAATTTTTTGGATAAAATTTGTACCTTTTCCTTATATGATAATTATGATCATATAAGTGGTTAATTTCTTATATTAAAAGTTATAAAAGAATATCATAATTATGTGTTCGGTTTACGAATTTAGTTATACATTCTCACTATAATTTTAAAAAAATTATTTCTTAATAAAATTACTTTTTTCTATTTTTTTATATATATGAAAAAAGAAATACAACCAAATTAAGAGCAAGTACAAGAACCAAATGGGTGAGAAGCAAGATTGGGCAGCCAGCCAGCCTATATCCTAACCTAAAGCACGGGTGTCTACTAGGCAGTGACGTGACAGAACTCCTACAAACTCATGCATCAAAATACAAAGGGTCGAAGTTGCCCCATCTACTCTCCATTTAACTTAAATATGGTGACGCATTGGCACACTCTCCCTAACACACAAGGAGTAACGACAATGCGTTAAACCTAAGTACTAATATTCACGAAGTCCGGGTTTTAATGGCTGCTTTGGTATACATTCGTTATTGATGAATCATTTAATAAATTTTGCCGCTGCTTGTTTTTCTCATGCACAATTCAGCCCACACAAAATCCACGACAGTATATAATGGTAAATTACACCTTTTTTTGTTTGAAAATGAGAGCTCAACTCTCTTAAAGTTTTTTCTCTTTCTACTTTAATTTATTGCAATTCCTCGAACAGATCCATTCCCCAAGCTTGGTACTAGACTGGTGATTCCAATTATCTTTTTTTTTCTCCATTTGGGCCAATAAATCTCGATATTTGGTCTTGGAACATTCTGATACTTAAATCAGGTCAGACCTTTATTTAGAAATGTTATAAGTCATTTATCTATTTACTAAATTGGAAATTAAAATGTTCTTGAGAAACTTATAACTTTAACTCAAGAAATATAGAAATGAAAAATCATGCAATTGATTGTCCTAATTGATATGACGCAAATGGCAGGCGGTAGAGTTTGGAGTAGTTGATTGATACATGGTGGGCTTGGGGGCGGTGGTCCTAACTATTATTAGAAAATTAGAATCTTAGGTAAGTAGACAAGAGTTGTTGCCACAGTTCCGAGGGCCATATCAAACCTAGCTTTTCCCCATCATCTCTGACCCACACTAAATTAATTAAAGAGTTAACTACACATGATATATATATTTGTATATTATTTATTTTTTATCACTGATTTCAAAATACATAAGTTATTGTTACTTTCATTTTTATTAAATTAAAATATGATTACTTTTATTTTTATTTATTTAAGATGTGATCATGTGATCACCACATATTAATTGTTGTTAACAGTTAATAGATTAATATGTGATATCATTCGATTGGAGGACTAACTTTATTTTAATTTGATATATTTATTTTTTACCAATTTACTTTGCTTTGTTAAATTTAAATAAAGTTAGTATTTCAACCAAATGGTGACATATGACACAACACATTATACCAATGACTGTGACATTTGGTCCCTATTATTTACATATTCTCTCAATTTGATCATTTTTTTAATTTATTAAAATAAATTAATCCTTCAATTGAATGATGCTACGTGTCTCTAGTACCATGTGTCACCATTCGGTCCGAAGACTAACTTTATTTTAATTTGATATATTTATTTTCTACCAATTTACTTTGCTTTGTTAAATTAAAATAAAGTTAGTATTCCAACCAAATTGTGACATATGACACAACATGTGGTACCAATGACTGTGGCATCATTCGATTGGATGATTAAATTTATTTTAATTTATTAAAAGTATGACTATATAGAGAAAATATGTAAATAATAGGGACTAAATGTGTGATTATACTAAAATATTTAACGACAGTTAACTCGTAGTAACCACATTTTAACTAAATAAAAACGAAGGTGACCATATCTTATGTATTTTTAAATCAATGACCAAAAGTGAACAAAAACACAAATATAAATGATGATATGTGTAGTTAACCCTTAATTAAAAGCAAGTGACCCGTCTTAATTAATTCCTCCATTTTTGTCTAATAATTCATCCATCTTTTTGGTAAAACATTACAAACCCATTAACTTCAAAGGCAGTTGAAATATCATTTCCAAAGGACACTTCCAATTTTATGCAAGGACAAGGGTTTCCTCCACTCAACCTCCCTATCCCATTAATTTTGTCTAATTCTTTATCATTAAAGGACAAATATGGGTTTTACTTCTATGGTTTGAAATTTCTAAAACAAAACATATTTGATGGAAATGAGAAAAATCGTATTCAATATTAACGGTTAAGATGATATATATATATATATATGAACCATGATGATGTTTTTATAGATTATTAGTGTATATTAGCCTTCCTACTGTTACAAAGGGTCAAATGAGGATTGCACTTTCTATGGGTTAGAGCAAAGGCAGTGACTCCTTATAAATACATGCTAGGGTTAGGGTTAGTCAGCAAACCGCATAAAAAGCTAGCTAGCTTTTGCTTTCGTTTACTTTTCTTTATTCCTTTTTTCCCCCTTGGTTCATAAACAGGAGAGACCGGGCTTTTTAGCTCCTTTTCATCTGGCGTTGGATGAGAAAAACATTTCCAAGAAACTACAGCTCCAACACAAGGAGGAATTAGGGTTTCCAAAGGGATGAAGAAACGTCAAGTAGTTTTGAAAAGTGGAAGAAGTTCGTCTTCGGTGAATCGGAACGTGAGGTATGGGGAGTGCCAGAAGAACCATGCGACGAATATTGGAGGGTACGCCGTGGACGGTTGCCGGGAGTTTATGGCGAGTGGCACTGAAGGGACCACTGGGGCTTTAACATGCGCCGCTTGTGGTTGCCACCGCAACTTTCACAAGAAGGAAGTACAAACTGAGGTAGTCTGCGAGTATACTCCACCAAATTCTTAATAAGATCAATATCCAAACAACACTATAATAGAATTGTTTTTTTTATATAAAAAACCATAATATATGAATTTAGCGGATTATTGTTGTTTCTATATTAATATTGTTGTACTGGATTCTTATCATCTAGTAATCTAAACCTTCAAGTGCTATTCTCTTGAAATATTGATTACTAAATAGGTAAACTCTACCAAACTCTCAATATACACATATAATTGTGTTCTTCCATCAAGAGTTAGAGATTGAGTTTATTTTTCTTTATAATTCACACAGTAGGTGTTTAATGGATCTTTTTGACGATGAAAGTAGCAGAAGATAATATAAAAAGGTTCAAACTATTTTGCCCTATTAATTTTGTACTTGAAGGGGTCTAATTTTTCTACTATAATAAAAGATACACATGGAGCAAAAAGGGCATCAAATGGGCATATATATATATATATATTATATATACCCTATAAGGATGCAGTACAATGTTGATACAGTAATCTGAAATCTTGTGTTAAGTATGTGTAGAAAACAATGGAAAAGCTGGTTTTGCTTATCATGGCCCCCAGTTCATAATTACAATAATTGGACACACATATATATAATATTAATTCTTTTCTTGATTCTCAAGCATGAGTTGTAATTGGCAATCTATATACTGCAAGTGAGATGTTTTCAATACATTTTTTTCTCTTATGACGAGAAACATTTGTTAATCTTTTAAAAAGAAAAATAAGCTAATTAACTTGCAAGTTAATATTGATAGTTACATCCAAGCTGTGAAACCAGATTCATATCTACTGTGATTAAGTGAATGACAAAGTCTAGCTGGAAAAGAAATTTTACATTTATTATAGAACAGCTAGATTCCTATGTATATACAGATAGATTCTTGAAGCATTGTTTGTTGGACTTCAAGTGATTCTTCTACTTTGTTCTTCAATCTTCTTTTGACAACGAAACAGGTTAAGATTCTACATTTGTGTAGTGTCTATACATAGAATTCCAATACTTAACTCTTTTGGTGGTTTTATTTTAAATTTTTATTTGAAAGAAACCTTTCTATTCGGTAAGTATATACAGTGTCGGAGCCACAGCTTGGTGAGGGTGTACACATGTCCACCTAAAATCCGAATTTTATTTGATTAGTTACTTATTTTATTAATGGTGTTCACCCTGAAATTTTTTGTGTCCACTATGAAATATGAGTTTTTTCGATTAATTACTTATTTTATGACGGCGCTCACCGTAGAATTTTATTTGTACACATCCCATTTAAAAAAAATTTATTTGTTAATATATGTGTGTCACCTTGAAAAATATTTATAGATCCGTGACTGAGTATATATAGTGTACCCTTGTGACAGTCATTTAACATTTGGAATATTTTATGTCTCATAAGGCCCACAGACATCCAATCATATTATCTCCGAGTGTTCTTAAAAGAAAATATTAAGAGCCTATAAAGTGGCCTCCTTTTTGGGGGATCAGTGGGACTTGTATCAAAGAAAATATCAATATAAAACAAATAAGAATGGAGATTACAAATAAAAACCAATATGATCTAAACATGTGGAATGACTTCTCTCCATCCATTTTCTTCCAGGTATTTTCAATTTGAATTAATATAGGTATGAAGTACTATCTTATAATTATATGAAGACTTTTTAAAAGTTTTCAATAGACTCATATTGAATACAAAATCATATCACATATGCATTCAAGTTATAGAGATATAATGTAAAAGAGAAATTGTGTTATAATGCATAAAATGGGCTGTTCATGTGGCATGTTGGTTTTAGGATAATCTTTTCTTATATAATTTTTTCAAAAAAATAATTATTGGGAGTCTGAGAATCTCAAAAGCTTTGAACTTTAGATTGTGTGAAACCCTTTCCATTTGGATTAATGAATTAGTGAAGAATTAATGTATGATATATTGTTCAAGTATTCTAGGACTATCCAGCAAGGACAACCCAATAAAAAAGCATTTCCCATTGCCCTTATTGAATGTGAGTCTCTAGTGGAATTTTGTGGGTAAAGCACCATGTCCCAAGCATGTGAGCTTGCCTAGCTCCCATTTTGCGTATCAACTCATCATATTCTCCACGTGAAATGTTTGTCTAAACGACAATTGATGTTTTTTTCCCGATGAACAAGTTTGAGCATGCTTATTCAACCGAAAATAAAATTAAGGAATGAACAAAAGATGTTTGTTAACGTATTTTGAGTTCAATTAACTCTAAGTCTGCGGAGTCACGTTTAGAGATCAGTTCTAATAATAACGGTACGTACAATAAAGCTTTGAAATTCGTTCTTATTAACAAGCACTGTCCATTAAAAGATCAAAGATTATAAAATTAGAGACTATTTAAAGACAAATCCTCCAATGGTGAGCATAGTACATTTGACAAAAGATACTTGGAAGAGATTCACTTTTGATTATTTCTTGAGAAAAACAAATATGTTTGAAGGAAATTAGACATACAAGATGCTAATCAAAATTTTGAATATAGAAGCTAGATATAAACATTAACTAAGAATCAATAGAAAAGTCAAAGTCAAAAAGATGTTAAATCTATGAACAATAAAAAGATATGTAAAACTAGAGAATGTCCAACACCAGTTATAACTGGTGCACATTGGAGACTTAAAGCAAAAGTTTGCATTAACAATATCCATCTTTCTGACATTTTTGGCCAAAATAAACCATGCTTCAAGGACACAAAGATTGGACGATTATTGAATATAAACGTAAATATGAGTTACCTAATTAAGGGAAGAGGGGGATTAGTAGTAAGTTTAATATAGAACATTAGAAGCAAGATTAAAATAGATCGATTGTGCAAAATATAACAAAACTGGTTCAAGCTAAGAAGATTAAAAACAAAAGTTCAATAGTTATAGGTTTAAGAGCTCCCCTTTTTGGACTACCTCCTCCCCCATGTGTAACTTTTTTTTTGGACAATAAGATTTTATTAGAAAACATTCTAATAGCCAAAGAATAAACAAGAAATTATTTGGACCTCCTCGCGGCCTGTAAACAGCGTGTTAAATCCTTGCACCCTCCAACACCCAAGATACATCCGACGTAGGCGCACTTTCCAGGTAAGCCAATAAAACAATTGGATAAAATGACCTCGCGCATTGCGAAGCGCGAGGTAGCCTTTATGATCCAAAATATCACGAGATTTATGGGACCTTGCAGCCTACAAAGCGTGAGGACAATAGATTTCCTACCCTCCATTTAGTGTCCATAGCCTTATTCGGATACTATTTCTAGGTGGGAAACTATTTTTTTAATTTTTAATTATAAACACGTAATGTTGCAATTTATCTTTAAGGTGACTATAGTATCATCATATATAAGACAGTTTAAGCGGGGTAAAAATGACGTTGAAAATGGTTTGAAATTGTGGTTTTGTGAAAGAAAAAGAAAAAAATGGTTTGATAGACATATTGGAGTGTTATTTCTGGCTTGTAAATATGAGTGCTTTCAGTATTTATATACTTAGAGGTATAGTATTGCATCTTATATTTATGTTAAGGCTAATTTGGCCACATATGATAAATTTTAATGGGGGTAAAAATTGTGCTGGAAAAGGTTGGAATGCATGATTTAGTGCATGAAAATATCAAAATAAATTGAAAACTAAGTAATATGTGTTGTTAATTAAAAAAGAAATAATGCAAAAAGTGCATTTAATTGATATGTGGGACTGATCAATTGAGACATTTAATTTGTTCTTCGTGTGTCCGGGTTTCCTACATATAGAGCATAATTTCGGTTGCCCGTTTCTTTCTTGATGTTCGACCATATCCTCATCACAAAAAATCTGGGTTGACCGTGGACGACCAATTTTTTTTCGTCGTAGTGCATAATCTGGCTGTATTGTAGGCTCATCATCAGCTTCATCCAGATCCTATTCATTTCCAATGGGAGGGAACTCGTATTCATAAACCTTTAATATAGTTTCAAGCACGTAAACTCGTTCAACGAACCTCATATAGGGTATTCGAACAGAAGAAACAACAGTAATGGTGTGCGCACACATGTATTTGAAAGTTTGGAAGAATCCACATTTGCATGTTTTTTCTCGTAAATTAACCACTTATACGTTGTGTTGTATGCTTTCCATTGGCCTCGTAAATTATGATACACAAAATAATGACATTTCGTGAGAGAAACATATGACACTCATCGCGTTGGAATGATGTTGGAATGTTTGCAAATTTATGAGGAGGTCTGAGTGGATTTGGTGGCCACCTACCATCCAATCAGTTGCTTTGTAATACCCCAAAAATTTAGACAATGACCAAAATAAAAATTTGGAAAGTTTGATGGTCAAAGTAGAAAATTGGGAAAAAGTTTAGGGAATTAAGTGATAATTTCCTAAAAAGAATTTTATTCCATAATAGATAGTTTACTCTTGAGAGTGGGTTTTATAGAAATCATATTTTTGGATTGAAATTTTAATAAAGAAAAATTAGAAATGGTAAAAGTCCGATAAGGAATCAGTAATTCCGATCGAATTGGACTTTTACAAAAATTTGAAGGATGTTATAAAATGGTTGGAAATATTATTTTAATATTTTGGATCAGAGAAATTTGGTTTGGAATTGTGCAGTTTTTTAGATTTAACCGAAATAGTGGAATTTAGCGACTAAAACGCAAGTTTTGAAAATTCATGGGCAATTTCGTGAGTCAAAGTCAAAATAATTCATCTTTGACTTTGAAAGATATTATGGATCAGGTGGCTTGGTTTTATGGTGAATAGGAAGATTCATTAAGGGCAACAATGGAATTTCTATGGTGTTGAATAAAAAATTCTATGATATATTATTAAGCATGTGTTAGATCTATTATAGGATTAGAATATCAAATATGGTGGAGCATCTTCAGCTTCTTCTTCATCCAAGACCGACATCTCCAAGCTTGCAAGGAAGGTGTTTTTGTTTTGAATTTTGAAGCAATCTTGTTGAGAATTACACTTAGGTGTGATTAGGAAAAATATTCTACGTTCAATTCTCTACATTTTGACATGAATATTACTAGGG